AGTACACAAATCGACTTGTATTGCTAGAAGGCCAAGAGACGAAGCTGCGGCCTAAATTGCAGGCAATCTGTCATGCTGTTTCCCACTTCCAGTTGCCTCCTGTCATCCTCGAGCTGCAACACTTTCCCACACTAGACAGCACTACAACCCTCTAGCATTTTTGCCCTCTAGCATCACAAAGCTGATTTGTGCCCACAAATCTGCATCACAGATTTCCGTTTTGATATGGGGAGGGGGGATTTTTCAGTGTGATATTGAAGATGAATAAATCGAACCACCTGCAGGAGGGGGCGGACCCGGACGCTGCAAAGGACACGACCTCGGAGGTGGAAAGAAAAACCGCGGTCCGCGCATCAATCAAAACTAATACGGATCACGACCTCGACGAGACTGTTACCATTGTTTACGCGAACCAGAAACTAGACGACAACTACGAGAAAGAACTCATTCATCAGCACCTCCTCTCCCCGGAGCAACGACGGAAAACCGGCTTTGCGCAAGGCGGTGACAAGGACATTGCGGCGAAGCTCGAAATTTTATTGCAGTCGGAACTCCGCGAGATTTGGCGACTATCCTGTGCAAAAGTATCGCACCCGTAGTAATCGCAAACATGGATTACAAATCTTTTGCTGAAGGAAAAGGTAAGTCCGCATTACAAATTTTATTTTTTATGCTGAGGAAATCCGTAATGCATTTATACGAGTGCGATACTTTTGCAATGCATAGCGACGGATCAGCGACGAGAGGCGGGAGGCTGCGGTGCGGGCAGATTGTTTAAAAATTTACCTAACCCAGACGACCGGAAAACTCGATCAGAAGGGCATCAAGGGTATCAAATGTAAAAGTGTCTGGGTCTGGAAGAATGCAACTTGTCATGCTAAATCTGGAGCATGCAAAAATCTGTGTTGCATGATTACCAAAAGTCGTCCAGTTTTGACCAAGTCGGGAGGGAGTTTCTCATGCAGGATAGGCATCAGAGAGATCCCACAGAGTCTGTCATGCTAGGTCCTGCATTCCAGACCTCATGGGCCATGGAAAAGCTGCATGACAAATCGCTCATTCTTCCAGACCCAGACGTTTTTGCAATGCATCAAGGGCCTAGCGCTCGGGATCCGGGAGTGCTTTCGTAGGGAACACAACACGCTGCCGATGTTATTAATCCGGCGCACAACCCAACAGCAAGAACCGCCGCGGTCCAGGTCGTCCCGGGGGCGGTCGTCCTCAGCCCGGCGTGCGATGAATAAAGGACCCGCTGTATTTTTGAGTAGTACGACCCCTGCGGTAACACAGGGCAGCTCAGTACTAGTCGATACTATCAAGATATCCCACGAAAAAACTGTTTCACTGTGCTGATTTTGCAAAATCTGCATCACAAGTTTGTTACGCATGACACTGAAAATCTGTCATGCGGGGTTCCCAAGGGAATACACAGCTAGAAATCAACTGTCTTGCATGTGTAGCATGACACACACGTCTGCGATCCATTTTCTGCATCACAAGTTCACAGTGAAACAGTTTATTCTTGCGATACAAGAAGACTGCAGATGGACGAGGATCTTCAGGTAGATCGTCACCTGCTGCTTGCTCCGTCCCCCCGTATGCATTGCAAAAATGTCTGGGTCGGGAAAGATGCAAGGTTTGTCATGCTTGTCTGGCATGACTGAAAAGTCTGTGATGCGTGTCCAAGAAGAGACCCATTTGCTTGTCATGCAAAGACGCAGTTTGTCATGCGGAAAACGCAACACTGTAGCCCCGCAAATATTTCTCATGCTTGGCTGTGCATTACAGAGCACTTACTATTCACAACTCAGCATTACAAGTTTCCAGACCTAGACATATTTGCATTTGATACCCCTATCAAGAAGACTGCAGCTGGATCGTCCCCTGCTGCTTGCTCCGTCCCCCCGCGGCCAAAAACGACGTCGAAAGGTGGAGTGAACAGACCTTCAACCAGCAATACCACCTCCGTCGCCGTTGCGAAAAAAGGCGAAGATGACAACGGGTCGTCGTCACGCGGCTACGTCTTGTTGCAGGAGCCCGGCGTCGTGCAGAAGATCCACTGCGCGTCGTCGGCGACCGGCCTGCCTAGTGACTATCGAAAGGAAAAATCCCCCCTCCCCATATCAAAACGGGATACTTCTGAAAATTTGTGATGCCGATTTGAGACCTCAAATCGTCTCTGTATTGCAAGAAGGCAAACCCAAAAACCCCGCCGCGTTCTGCAGGCAATTGGTAATGCTGTATGTCCTAAGGAGGACGCGCCTGCCTTGCTAGGGGCCTACACCAAATGGCCTCTACTCGGGCTTTGCATCTACCTGCAGTCTTCTACTGCAAGACAAAGGCGATTTGGGTACACAAATCCCGCATCACAGATTTCCATTTCGATATGGGGAGGGGGGATTTTTCCTTTCGATAGCGACCCGCGGCTGTTTGGTACAACAACAGCTGATATGACGAGCAAGAAATATCAAATGTAAAAATGTCTGGGTCTGGGAACTTGTGATGCTGGGTAGCGTCTCATGATGAGGCTACAAATGCTGGGTCAGCATGACAAGTTTCTGAGCTCCTAGCTGTTGCCTATTCTGCATGACAAACTGCGCTTCTGCATCACAGAAAAACGGAGCTCTTGGGTAACGTGCATGACAGATTTAAGAGTCATGCCAGACAAGCATGACAAACATATATTCTTCCAGACCCAGACATTTTTGCACTTGATAAGAAAAATCCTACGGCTACTTCTTGCGTCGATTATTTCACCGAAGAAAGTAGATTCTCTTTCCCTGGTAGTAGTTCTTCTCTGTCACTACAAGAGCCGGAAGACCGAGCAGCCAACCACCTGCGGAAACGCACCACGCCGCTGCCCCCGGAAAAGCGGCACAATGTGCTGTCGTGTTATCCCCTGCAAGATGAAAAGCATCGCAGTCGTACTGGTAGTGTGGTAGCTAGTAGTCGCGGCCACGCATGACAGATTTATCGTTTTGCTATTGCCTGATACTGATCTTCTACCTAGCACGTTGACAAACTGCGTTTTTGTTCGTGAAGTAAAAATTTGTATTGCAATTCGACTCCGAACCGCCGGAGTAATATTAATGCTATGCTGGCTGTTTTGTAGTACTCATTCGACGACAATTTTGATTTTGCAATGCATACATTTCCTCCGAAGTCAATTTTGAAGAAACCAACAGCGCCAACGATCCCGCAGTGGACGACGAGTACCGCCAGCGCAGAGGCATATCACATGCAAATATGTCTGGGTCTGGAACAAGAATGCAAGTTTGTCATGCTTGGTCGACAATAGAGAAAAGTCTGTCATGCTCCGTGCGCTACAGTGCCACTTGTTTGCCATGCAAAAAGGCAATTTTGCCATGCGGTTGACGCTAGATAGAGTCGCTCAGAAACTTGTCATGCGCTGCTTCGCAATACAGTGTGCGTATGATTCGGACACTCGCATGACAACCCAGATATATTTGCAATGCATAAGGCAACAGGAGTAACTGCAAAGCAAACCCCCCTCGGCATGAAAAACTACGTGCCGGAAGAACTACGAGGAACGCGCTCGGTACTACTAGATCAGGAAGTGCATAGCGCTGACAGGAGCTGCTCCTGCAGCGCCATGACCCGAAGAAACGGGCCTCAAGACGTCGGAGATGGAGGAGACGCTTTTTTGAATAACGCTTGCACAGCACGACGACGAACAAGTGAGACAGGACAACTTCTCACGTCGGCAGATGTTGCACGTGCACATACAACAAACTATAATGGACGCTGCGCGGCCGCGGGAGTATCATCAACAAGCGATCGAACGCCAGCATTCGTGAAGGTGGACGTGCAAGAAAAGGTGGATGAGGCCCCGGCCTTTCAACCACCACGATCATCTTCGTCACGCCCGGAAGAAGTTGCAGAGCGTGGTCCACTGTCCTTTATTCCGAGAGTCGATTTCTCATCCATTTTGACCCGTCTCCCGGAATCTGTTATCATGAAAAGTGCTAAAAGCGGAGGAAGCAGGAGTAGTCTTCCCGGCTGTCTGAAAGAGGAGGAAGCCGGTGGCAGTGCTGCAACGCGAGAAGCAAAGAGCTTCGAGCAAACGCGTTCAGCTTGTGCTGGCGCCATAGAGGAGCAGGACACGACCACGAGGACAATATTAACCGGAGCTGGGTTGTCCTCGCTACGCCTTCACGACCCGCCGTCTGAATATCAACTGCAAAAATGTCTGGGTCTGGAAACTTGTAATGCTGCGTTGGGAATAGTGATGAATGCTCTGTAATGCACAAGCGAGCATGAGAAATATCTGCGCTTCTCTGCGTTGCGTTTTTCGCATGACAAACTGCGTTTTTGCATGACAGGCAGAAGGGTCTCTTCTTGGACACGCATCACAAACTTTTTGGTCATGCCGGACAGGCATGACAAGTCTCCAAGTCTTCCAGACCCAGACACTTTTGCATTTCATACTGAAGACAAATCTACAACTCCGAGCCCCGTCGAAGACGAGGATATGGAGATGGAGTTCTCAAACGTATACATTCTCAACTGTTACAGGAATTTGTCATGCAAAACTACCGTAAGCCGCAAGAAGAGCAAGCTGCTTCGCATGACAAATCTTCGGAGGCCTAAACAGCATCTAAATCTGTGCCAAGTCTGTGATGCGAAAGCAGCAAGCTTGCCCCTTTGACGGTTGCGGTTCTTGCATTACAAATTCATGTAACAGCTGAGAATGTAACGTTTGAGAATCCCATAGAGGAGCAAAAGCGGCTGGACGAACTGTACGCCGTGGCGTATGCGGAGATGTTCGGAAACACCAACTTATGAGAGTGCACAAGAACCCCCCCTCCCCCTCATTTGTCATGCCAAATTCCCAAGGCTATTGCTGCGCTGTGGGACTGTTTGCATGACAAATTCCGGAAGCCCAAAGAACAGTCCTACACTGGGCACATGACTTTGTCATGCACAGGCTCCATGTGCGGTGGTGTTTGTATTGCTGTCCATGCAAAAATACAAATGAGGGGGAGGGGAAGTTGTGCACCCCCATACGGCTTTTGGCAAGAGCAGAAACCCGCGGAAAGAACGGGGAAGGAAGCGGAACGCGAACACAACGACGAAATCATAAGAACATCGGGTGGTTATCAAATGTAAAAATGTCTGGGTCTGGAAGGTTGCAAGACTTGTCATGCAGGTTTTCCATGACGCGCGAGGTCTGTCATACACGACCCAGCATGACAGATTCTACTGTGCGACCTCTATCATGCCTATCCAGCATGAGAAACTGCCTCTCGGTGAAGTGGAACGCACTGCATTTTTCAAGTTCGTGAGGTTCTAAACTTCTTTCACGAGGATGCGCCCGCTAAAAAGGGTGCATGCAAGTATCGGAAAAGCTCGTCGTGCAAACAAGTCAGGAGCGGGCGACTGGTTGTGTGGAACCCACCCGGCACTGTTTTGACAAAGGGACGCATATCGGGATGGGGTCGAACGCTACCAAAAAGCATCGCGACAAGCAGGCATGACGAAAAATTTGACGGTAGATGCCGTCTAGCGATGGCAACGGAGTTGTTGTTTCAGAAGCATAGCAAAATCTACGGGAGTCGCGGACAATATTACGCCAAGCACGGTACCAAATGTTTGTTAACTTGATGCTGCGGTTGTAAGTGTAGCTCAATTTTTCTTGGAGATGCAAAGCATTTTCGTCCTCGACGAAGCGGATGTTTGATGATTTTGAAAAACGCTAACTTGGGTTCGTACTCCACCTTTCATCAGGTTATTGTCTGAACCACGAGCTCATATTCGACGCGCCGCCAGGCGATATCGAGTCGCATTATAACTTTGAAGATCCGATTGACAGAAATTGGCATCCGCTATTTCGTCGAATCTACCACAAGGTAATCACAATACCTCCTCGGCTGCTTAGTCAGATGTAACCTATGAATGGTGCGGTTGGTGCGTCTGCGTGATCTTCATCTTGTGCAACACAAATATAACGAGCCGCACGGGGAGAGCGTACTACACCTGGTCTGTATAATCGATTTGTCATGCATAATGACACGAAGAAGAGCGCCGTGCATGTCCTCTCGCACCATTTTAGTCTCAAGCAATCGATAGCATTCCGTGCTGATTAGAGCGATGGCGCGCAGTTTGACCTTGAGAAAACACAGCTGGAAATGCATTACAAAGCTGATGTTGTTATCGAGTGAAGTATTGTGTTTTCATTTCGATACACCGTTTCGGAAATTTGCCGACAAGTGGCGGCGACAATCTGACGGCACCTCGCCGCTCTGGTCCTACAACCAGTTTCAATATGAGTGGAGGCGCGCACATGGAGAGCGTGTCGGCAGTTCCGGATATCCTAAAATGCCGTCTCCGGCGTGGTTGGCGAAAAAATTTCTGGTGGCTGCGGCCTCCGGCTAAAAAGAAATTCTTTTGCCGACCGGGGTGAACAAGAAGGCGGTCGACCAATTACGAGCTGTAGGATGTAAATATGGACAGATTTTTTCGGTAGCAGGCTGAGCTTTTCTTTATCGCACTGACACTTGAAAACACTCATTTTTGAATTTGGTGTTTACATGCTAGGCAATCCCAACTGTAATGTGTTTCTACATATACCTAGTTGTTTTCTGTAGGATTTTTAATTTTCTTTTGATGGTCAGGACTAGGATAGTTTTCTCATTGCTCGTTCGCAAATCGACAAATGTTTCCTAAATAAAGATCGTGAAAAGTCTCACCCGTGCCAATACTAATGAATCCCTGTGTGATCATATGACAGGCAGGCAGGCTATTTTCTGTTCCTTGCCTCAGCCGCGGGTAGTTGTGCCGTTGCCGTTCTTCTCCTTGTTTGATAATTGCGTGTAGAACAAGTTCGTTCTGTGTTGGAACATGTTGTGTTGGAACAAGCGCAGCGTTGCTGAATTTGTGGTTGACGCTTAGTAGTTAGGCCTGGAGTGGAGTAGAAGTGCAAGTCTTCGAGCTTGTCGGACCACGAGTCAGTTCTTCTAGCTTTTCACAAAAATGAGAAAATGGCTCTGTTCTAGGCGAGGCTGGTGCAGGAGGTCGAGTTTGGCGAAAAATTCAGATACACAACGGGCGAAGACAACGAGACCTGCGAATCGGCCACTTCTTGTGGAGGATGCAAAAAAAATACTTCTCGATGGTTCAACCAAAATGCGCTTGGAGTAGTTGTGCCGGTTCGAAGAGCAGGTGATAATGATCCATTGTGAGCTGCGACATAAACGCGCCTCTACTGCAGTTCTTCTTCTCCTTCCCACCACAGCTTCGTCCGCTCGAAGAAGAGCAACACGCTTTATTCCGGCTACGGATGCAGGATCAACATGATCATGATCGTTCCTGCATGACCTGTTCCTGCGTATGAATAGCTCAAAGAACCTCCCTTGAAATCGACGACGTTGAAGCATGCAGGAGGAAGATGGACATTATGGGTTGCACAGTTGTCCATATCTCAAAATACTACCTGCTCCGATAAACTTCACTTGCGATGAGATCAACGAACTACATCAAGGTCAATGTCAGTGAGTCTGGTGAATCACCAGACTCACGTATATGCGTGTTGGAAATGGATTGTATATGATTTTGAATCCGTATACGTATAGCATGCTGAAGTTTAAAAGTTTGCGAAGCCGACAAAAAAAACGAGAAACAAAAGCAAAAACGCATAAAAAGCTTTTCAGCATGGTCTCACGTCTTGACACTCGCCTAGCGGAGGGGGGGCGGAGGGCAAGTTGCAGTCGATTATACCCAGAATTAGCTGCGGAAGCGGATAGTACTAAAAGTGCAAAGTGCTTACTTTTTCGAAGCAGATGCCATTTATTATTTACACTTCTGCTACCAGGACGGCACTGCGCTTCTGCATGTGCCGTCTACACCCTCCGCTACCCCTCCGCAGTTGCTGGGCATGTTCCTCATAGCATGCTGAATTTTGAAAACTTGCAAAACCGACAAAAAAAGCGAAAAACAAGAGTGAAAACGCATAAAAAGCTTTTCAGCATGGTGACACCTCTTGACACTCGCCTAGCGGAGGGGTGGCGGAGGGCAAGTTGCTGTCGATTAGACCCAGAATTAGCTGCGGATAGTATGAAAAGTGAAAAGTGCTTACTTTTTGACAACAGATGGCATCTATTATTGAACTTCTCTTACCAGGACGGCACTGCGATTCTGCATGTGCCGTCTACACCCTCCGCTACCCCTCCGCAGTTGCTGGGCATGTTCCTCATAACATGCTGTTTTTTGAAAACTTGCAAAACCGGCAAAAAAAGCGAAAAACAAAAGTGAAAACGCATAAAAAGCTTTTCAGCATGGTAGCACCTCTTGACACTCGCCTAGCGGAGGGGTGCCGGAGGGCAAGTTGCAGTCGATTAGACACAGAATTAGCTGCGGATAGTATGAAAAGTGTAAAGTGCTTACTTTTTGACAACAGATGGCATTTATTTATTGAACTTCTCTTACCAGGACGGCACTGCGATTCTGCATGTGCCGTCTGCACCCTCCGCTACCCCTCCGCAGTTGCTGGGCATGTTCCTCATAGCATGCTGAATTTTGAAACTTGCAAAACCGGCAAAAAAAGCGAAAAACAAAAGTAAAAACGAATAAAAAGCTTTTCAGAATGGTATCACCTCTTGACATTCGCCTAGCGGAGGGGTGGCGGAGGGCAAGTTGCAGTCGATTAGACCCAGAGGTAGCTGCGGATAGTCTGAAAAGTGTAAAGTGCTTACTTTTTGACAACAGATGGTATTTATTGTCAAACTACTGTTACCAGGACGGCACTGCGATTCCGCATGTGCCGTCTACACCCTCCGCTACCCCTCCGCAGTTGCTGGGCATGTGCCTCATAGCATGCTGAGTTTTAAAATTTTGCGAAACCGACAAAAAAAGCGAGAAACAAAATCAACAACGCATAAAACGCTTTCCAGGATGGTGTCACGTCTTGCCATTCGCCTAGCGGAGGGGGGGCGGAGGGCAAGTTGCAGTCGATTAGACCCAGAACTAGCTGCGGATAGTACTAAAAGTGCAAAGTGCTTACTTTTTGAAAGCAGATGCCATCTATTATTACACTTCTGCTACCAGGACGGCACTGCGATTCTGCATGTGCCGTCTACACCCTCCGCTACCCCTCCGCAGTTGTTGGGCATGTGCCTCAAGGCACGACTAATTTGCAAAAAACAACTGAAAAAACAAAAATACAATACGCATATACAATCCATTTCGATTTCCAACATAGTTCATCACCGTGATCCATTTCCAACATAGTGCATGCAGAAATGGCATTAGTAGTGCGAGGCTCTCAAGATGAACACTAATTCGCAAAAGTCAAAATCGAAAACCCCTTTTTTACTTCTCATCGCCGAAACTCCTGATCGTGCTTATGAAAATCATCTGCTCCTTCTTCTCGCAAACTACAATTAGAATCGCTTCATGTAAAATGAAAATTTGATCGTATTTAGTCGCTTTGTCGGCCAGCCTCTCGTCGTCGTGGCATCGTGATCGTCTCAGCGTGTTAATAAAAAAATATCGTTTTTCCACCATCGCTTCAGGCACGGGCAGTCGCAGTTGTGGTTGCGGTATATTGGCGACTAGTGTTTCAGTACGTAGACATAGCCCTAGATTCAATTCCTCCATGAGACTACCTTTGAAAGCCGGCAACGTCTCTGGAATTTAGTAGTTTAGTGTATGATGACTAGCACAGCTTGGAAGCTCTTTTGTAGTTACTCAACATTGTTTTATCGATATACGGGACGAGAATCTAGAGAAAAGGAACCGCTTTTATTTTTAACCGTTTCGTTTTTCCAAATATGATAAGTAGATGCCGGAGCACAAAAAATTTTGTACACTCAGCATTCACCCGTTCGGTTTCAGTTTCAGCAGCACGCAAATTCATAGATAAAAACTCTGCGACTTTTCATGTTTAGAAAGGAGTTTATTTGTACAATGGAACCCACGGACACGTCGCATGGAGCAGTTGTATCTATATTCAATTCGAGGAGAGGCCAACGACAAACCCGCACGGAGCACAAGCTTGTTGCTCTGAAGGCGTTTTTACAATTTCGCAGTCGCGGGTGGAGATCCGACAAACACGACAACGGGCTGAAAGACGCATGAGGAACGAGCAGTTCTCTTCACGAGGATCGCATTTTTGCGCATGCAGTAGTAGTATCTAAGCTGCCCCGAAAAGGGTTTGTGACTATTGTTTCTTTCGGCGAGTAAAAGTTGTATAATAACTCACGGCGGAACATCGACATCGACCAACGGAGCGACACCCCTTTATTTTTACCTAAAAGCCAGTGACTCTTCCTTCTGACTGTGGAGCGACCCGGAGCTGTACCCTATGGGCGACCGGCGCGACCACCATTTCAACGACAATCCCCCACGACCCGCGATTCCATCTGACCAACGTAATTTTAACCCTCACCATCCAGATCCGCACGGTGGCATACAGCCTCCATGGAGAGCTACTAATGCCGGCCGCGACTTAGCAGAGCCGGGTAACTACAAGAACAGACGCTTCGAAAATAACCGTGCGCGCTTCGTCCAAGAAGAGCATGACATCCCGAGCTACCCTTTACCCGTCGCCCCAGTGCCCACACAAGCAACGTCGGCGTTGCATACTGCGACCACATTCGATTTCGAGCCGGAAGTTTGTCATGCACAGGCCGCAAATGCTGGAGCCGACGTGGAACAACATACACCGGGAGAAGGTGTTCGAGAAGAGGCAGCGTATGAGCGGCAAGCGGCACGAGATGTTGTTGGGCGACGTGACCCTCGCGCCCATGAACGAAATAACGTGGCGTCGTACGGCGGCACAGTGAACACCACTCTGTCCTCCGCCGGTAATTATGGAAGCTCGTACTACCAGGAGCAAAACGACGCCAGGAGACCGGCAGCGACAAGTACGATTTCGATTGAGGATGATGTGATAAGAAGCGATGTAGGTGGTGGAGCTCCTCCTGCCTGGCGCCCTGGCCGCGGCCAAGTGGAAATCCGGCCTGCGGCAATATGGATTGCAAATATGTCTGGGTCTCGAAGGTGTGGGGAGTTTGTCGTGCAAATTCTACATGGCTCCCGATGCCTGTGATGCATCTGTTAGCAGCACAGCTTTCGCAAAGGTTTGCTCATGCCTATCCTGCATGAGAAAAAATGCCCCCTCCGGGTGGCTTCTAATCTGAGTGTCTACTTTTGCCTCTCTTGCAATACAGATTTTTGTATGATGGACAGCTAGCATCACAAATCCCACGCTTTTCTGACCCAGACATATTTGCATTTGATAGGCGACACGAGATGACCAATTTTCATCCTACAATCCGAACAGAGAGACCGAGAGCTCTTATTCCGTGACTGCTCCCACCAGGGTCAGACATGTTGACCATGCGGGTCTCACTGATGCCTATCGCGACAACAAGCACAAGCACTCCCGCACAGCCACAGGGCGGCTGGAAAACAGAGAAACCAGTTTCGAAAGCAATGCCGACTGCGAAAACGGTGACACACAGCCCGCCGCACCACAGGAGCGACACCAAAATGCTGGCCAGAACAACGACCAGCAGCCCGACCAGCGTCAAGTAGGACTGCAAGACTTTGTCTACCAGGCGGATTTGCCAAAGGTGGCTCCTGTGGTTGGTACATCCAACGGTAAGAGGACCGAGCTACAACGAAATGTGGACGAGTCAGCGCGTCTTCACCAGAATCAAGAAGAGGCTCAGCCTGTAGCTGAAGCGGCGAAATATGGAAATGGACGTCGCGGTTTTCATATCAGAAATCCTCGTGACACCACCAGCTCTGGAAGGTATTGCCACGACACCAAGGCCGACAACCGCAACAACGCGCCAGTCGCCCCGGAAGATTCTGCGCCGATAATATTACCACGCTGCGCGGAAAAGGTCGATGCTCCTTCTGTGCCTGATGGCAAAGACGTCCAGAAGGACACCGATCCTCCCCGGAATCATGCTGGTGGACCCAGCGCCGATCTCCCCGATGTGGAAGGGATGTGTCCTGCGAACGCAGAAGTCGCGAATACTCTCTCCCCTCAAAAAGACCATCTACATCCCCCGTCCGCGGGCTGCAGCACGATCCCCGTCTACGGGCGTCACAACGCCCCTTTTCTCAACTCCCCGAGCGACCTACCGGAGTATTTCAACGACGAGGACTGCCGGACTTCGTACAAAGAAAACGACTCCCTACTTTCCACGGCTGCGTTTATCCAGCGGAAAAACATCGCTGTGACCGCCACCGCCCGCGTTGGCCCCGGCATGGTCATCTGCATGGGCGAACAGGTGGTTGACAACCATCACGTGGACTTCAACAAGCCGACTTTATTGCTCGAAGTTGTGAAGCGGATCGGGAAGGGCGGGTCAGCGGAGGTGTTCGAGTGCGTTGATCTGCGAACTTGTGTAGGAGATGGAGGAGCGACTGCTACGACCTCGGGATCGGGAAGTCGTGGGGGCAACTATAGCTGCAATCATAGCGCGTCGCGAAGTGGTCAGCACAATGGAACAAGCAGCAGTGCAAGTCGAAACAAGGAGCAAGGTTCTCAGTTATCCGTTACCCGCTACGCACTCAAAGTCGTCTATGCTCGGGACGCGAGGCAAATGCGCTCGTTCGCCATGGAGGTAAACTGGCTGCGGGCTTTGCGGGACAAGAATCAGGCAGCGAACAATGCCGGAACTACCCCGAATGGTAAACACAACGCGGACGAGCTGCGGGTAGTGAAGATGATCAGCGAAGCGAAATTTTTTCCAAAAGATTTGGTGATCCACATTTTGCTGGAATTCGCGGACTGTGGTATGGGATGGAGAGGGCTGCGGTGGTTTGTTTGAAAGAAATAGTTTCTCTGATTCTAAACCGCGATTAAGTTTAAGAAGATGGGACGCATGATGCGTGCGGCAAGAAGCAGCTTGTGCATATTTATTGACTCGTAGAATCGTGCAGCCCCAGCCGCAAGCGCGCGCATGTAAAAATTTGTCATTATCATAATTCTTGCATGTACAACCACACGATGAGCATGACACAATGTTGTCTCAATTGGAAGAACTGGCTCAACAACCAACGCACCTCCTTTCCCCTCCGATACCCAACCTGCACTCCTTTCTTCGGAAAAACTACGAAGTTTTTTCCATCTACGACATCCGCAACCTGTGGCGCGACATGGTCGCAGGCGTCGCGGCCATCCACTATCAAATGTAAAAATGTCTGGGTCTGGAAGAATGCGCGATTTGTCATGCTTCTCTGGCATGACTCTTAAATCTGTCATGCAGGTTACCCAAGAGCCCCAATTTCCTGTCATCCAAAAACGCAGTTTGTCATGCAGAATAGGCAACACCTAGAAGCTCAGAAACTTGTCATGCTGAGCCAGCACTTATGGCTTCCGCATGATACGCCACCCAGCATCACAAGCTTCCAGACCCAGACATTTTTACATTTGATATCCACAGCCTCGGTTTGATCCACTTTGACCTTAAGCCCGCGAATTTCCTCATCGTGGACAACATCGTGAAGGTCTCTGACTTCGGCCTCGCGCGCGGGATCAACAAGGATGAGGGCATCACCCACGTTTCCCGCGACCGTCAGTGCGGTACGCCCCGCTACATGCCACCGGAGGCGTTCTACCAACCGGATGAGGGGTCGGCGAGTTTGAAGATGCGGCCGGCGGCCGATGTTTGGGCCTTGGGGATCATCCTCTACCAATTGCTGTACGGGCGGGCACCGTACGAGCATTTAGAGGGCTGCGGGATGCGGGCGCAGTTCGCCGTGGCGGACTCCCGGGTGCGGATTCTGTATTCGAGGTCCCGCAGGTGGGAAGAGCAGGACGCCGCGCTCTTCGGCCATCTGGTATCATTACTGCAAGTCACACTGCGCTGGCGGTGGGAAAGGCGATGGGACGCGCAGACGGTGCTGAAGTATTTGGAGACGCCAGAAGGAGATGATCTTCAGAATGGTTTTGCGAGTTTGCAGCCAGGCGAAGTAGGTCGTGGTGGAACCAGCAAGAAGAGACAGCAAAAGCTGCTACTGAAAACGCCGAAAAACCTGGTCAACGAGGAAGACATGAAAGGGAAGACGACGAAATGGAAGGGCCGCCGGCTGTCGGACATTTACGAAGAGGAATACATAGATCAGACGGCGTTTTTACCGCTTTTGGCGAAACAAGAGAGCTACTCCTACAACTCGACGACTGCTCTCGGCACTATCGGTGGTGAGGAAGCGGGGTTATCGGCACGACGGCAGAATAGTCTTGGACAGCAGGGTGACGACGGCGCTAGTACAGGCCAAATCGACAAAGAGGACGGGCGTTCAGCTGGCGAGGCAAAAGATATCAGACATGGCAAGCAGAAGTTCGAAAATGAACCGCCAGAAGAGCATGAACCAGAGCTGGTATCGTCCTCTGAGGAAGAAGCGATAAACGCTCAGAACGGTGAAAGGCAAGCCCATAGCTCTTCTCTGTCACAGCAACAGAAGCAGAAGCAGGCAGTAGAAGATGAAATAACAGACGTGGACTTTGCTTCCAGGAACAAAACCGCATGCTTGGCATCTGCGACACAAACTTTCGACGAGGAAGCGCAAAGAGACACGACGAGGACGACGCCAAGTTTATTTGCTTGTGAAGATGTTGATGACAATGACGACTTTTCGCAAGACAAATTTCGCCCCCTGATAGAGGACCCCTCCTCATCGTCAACATCCTCCACGGGCCCCTGTGCCGCTTTTTTGGCCTCTTCGCTTTCGACCATCATCGTCACCATCGTCGCAATCTGTCTTCTCGCTGGCGCTACGGGCTTGGCAGTGCACATGGGCAATGTTAGCGAGGGGAACAAGCAGAAAGCAGAGCTGGGGGATGGGGACGAGTATCCGTTTGGCGGCTTCGGCGGCGGGTATAAGCCGAATATTTTGGTCCCGACAAGAATTTTCAACGGGGATGGAGGAGGAGGTGGCGGTGGTGATCCACGTGGAGGAAACCCTAGCGGCCCACCAACAGCCCTCGGCAACGATGATCCTCAGGGAGGTGGGCACGCCGACCCAACAGCCCCACCTCCGCAGCACCTCCAACCGCTTTCTCCTCCTACTCAGAGCTCGCCCTCGTCAGTGCTGTCGACCTTGTTCCCCGCCCCGGGAGCTGTTTATGGACCGGAGTTTCTAGCGCCGGCGAAACCAAAGGCAAAACCTCTAGGGCCGGCTCCTGGTGGTGCAGCAGGACCGGCGCCAGCACCGGCCGCTCCCGGGCCTGTTGTGCACGTTGCAGGGCCTGCTTCCGCGACTACACCAGTAGTGGTTCCTGCTGCTGCGGTGCCGGCTCCGCCGGCAGTTCCTGTTCCACCGACCGCGGCTTCGGCTGCAAGTCCGGCAACTGCAACTAGTCCTGCAGCTGACCCGGATTCTGCGCAAGCTCAAGCAAGACAGGCACCAGCAGCAGGAGCTGAGTCACCAGCATCTGCTCCGTCCGCGTCATCGCCTGATCCCCCGCCGGAAAGTGCTGATCAGACGGATAGTACGAGTGGCAGTCCCAGCACCGGGCAAGCAACGAGCAGTGCTGAACAAAACCCCGCAGGGGCACAGCAAAGGACAAGAGAAGGCGAGGAAGGAAACCAGTCGTCGGAAACTACCAGCCTTCATCAGGATCACGAGCTACAGCAAGGCCAAGAACTTATCCATTCTGCTGCCACATCAAGTGCTGCGCAGCAGGAGATGTTGCCGCAGCAAGACGGAACAGACACCGCGCAAATTATGCGACCGCGAACAGGCACTTCCGACAGTGCGGATCTACAGTCCACGAATGCTGCGACTAGTGATTCGGGTTGTGGCGTTGATGTTGGAACTGACCAGTCGTCAGCTGCGGGTAGTCGCAGGACCGATGATGTTTTGGACCAACATTCAAGTAGCGCAGCTACTCCAATGAATCCGAGTGTGGACAACGAGAGCGGTTCTGCGCAAGGTGCTTCTGGTACTGGAATGAGCGATCGGGCGGAAGGAGAAATTTTTCCTGGTTCCTCAACATCCACTGGGACTGCTGGCGCAGCGGGCAGTGATATTCAATCTAGTCGCGATGAGGTCGTTGTTGCTCCGCAAACTTCAGCTTCGAATCCAGCAGCAGCTGCAGGAGGTAGTGTTAGCCAAGAAGAGCCGCGTCCGCAACCAGGTCCGAGTGCACCTTCCGGGGGAGCTTCATCCGGACTGGATTCGGTTGGTGGTGGCGGTGCATCTGGAGTTTCTTATGCCGGGGCTTCTCACGGAACTGGCATTGGAAGAGACACGGGACCGGAAGAACACACACGAGAGGTGAATCCCCAAGAGGAGCTTCCGTTTCCTGATGCTGCAATCCGGGGCGCACGGGATATGCAGAGCGATGCTTCGTCGACCGCTTCAAGGCGGGCCATGTCGGATGTTGCCACCGGAGGTGGAGGTGATGCCCGCGACTCGCATATCGACCACGCACAGGCCGGCGGTTCGGACGCACGTGGTCTTGATGAAGAAGACGCTGGCGTTGACGCGGACAGCGTTAGCGCAGGAACCGACAGCGACCCATTGGTATCCGATCTGGATGCTCTCCTTAGAGACGAAGATAATGCTAGCTGTAGCGACGCCGAAGAAGATGCTGTGGGCTCAGTGTGTTCGCAAGAGGAGGACCACCATGAACAAGAACTCGAAGGACAGGACATAATCAACGAGGATAAAATAGAAGTTCCGGAGACGTCGTCTGAAAGGGGACGTGACGAAGGGGCCCGCCGTGCGGAGACAGCCTCTGCTACAGATGGACTCAGCGCGGCCGGCCAGGCTTCGTATCGCCCTACCGTCGGTGAAGGTTACAGTTCCTCGAGCTCGTCCGCGGTATGGCACCCACCAGTTGGCGTAGCTTCCAGGACACCAGTGGAACGTGGCAGCAGCCATGACAACCAAGAAGCGCGTGTCGGTGATCCGGTTTTGGGTTCGAGGACTGTTCCCTCCCTCACAACCCGGCAAGAGCGAGGAGGAAGTTGCGAGGATCTCTTCTTGGAGGTTCTGAGCGAACATGTTCCCAGTAGAAAGCCTAGAGATTTCTGGAACGTCGAAATTGATCTGGGATACGATCATCTGAAAGCTGCGGACGATATCTTACAAGACGAACACGACCGCCTGCCTCTGGTACCTACATCTGAGAGAAGCTTCGACCCCGACACATGGAGGGTACAAAAACTTCTTTCCTATTTCCGTTTTGTCGGTACTAAAACCAATGCAAAATAAAGACACGGCGAAGAGACGAGAAGCCAACTACTTAGTGGCAGAGAATTCGAATTCCAGTCGCTGTACTGATTCATTGATTCAATTGCGCAGGGTGCGGGACTCCTGAAACCGGAATTCTCAGCCAGACAGAAAAGAGCTCTAGATACAAGTCGAACCTTTGGTAACATCAAATCAGGTAAGCACAATAATGGCTATGATGCCATTCTGCAAAGTGAACATACAGTGGGCATTTCATCCGGAGTATATTCGTCTCAGACAGCGCGGCTGGCCCGTAGAGGAAGCGGATCTTTACGGTGCGGCGCGTCTACGGTCTGGCTGCGTGTCGGAAGACAAACAGTTTTTCAGGGACGTGTGGGATTTTTTATGTTAACGCAATCCAATTTTTTCGCCTTTTAGAAGCTGCAACCCGCAAAGATTTGCAGCGCTTATCCTTTTTGCATGTGTGTTCTATTCGAATTTGTTGTGTAGCTTGAGCAGCATCCGTTATGTGCTGTAGAGGCACGCCATGCCCATTTGGGAGCGCAGAACAAAAAGCAGCACTACAAATTGGGTTGCATAAGGGTTTCACGAGAGGTTACAACCTGCAACCGGCACGGACGGACTAGGCGCCGCTCAAGGCAAGCACGTCGTGGTCTGGGATGATCCCATGGGCGTCTCATCGAGCACCACGTTGACCGACAGCAACGGTACACCAAATTACTACATCGTCGGAAACGGTGCAGACACGGATCCAGATCTTCTGAACGAAGCGACGCAGAAACATCTCATCAGGGAAGAGCGGTGCCGCATCGGGATGGTGACGGAGTATTTATTTCAAGCCGCTCGAGGCATACAAGAATTCGAATCTGAGTCCTTTCCCGTTCCATATGGTACTAGTCCTGCTACAGCTAATGCTATACAATAGATAGGGTATAGCCTTGTCGCTCCCGATAGGTATAGCCTTGTCGCTCCTTGTCCTCTTTTTGCTTTGGAGGGCCGCAGACACAGTCCCAGCGAAGTACATGACAGCACACAACTTTCCCTTCGGTGAATAAAGCAGATTCACACGACTTGGTAATAAATAATTCACGATGAAATCTTGTAGATCTAGCCTCAAAATTCCTAACCACCCATCTCCACGTACTTACAGGTTATTGCCTGAACTCTCATCCCACCCCCGCCGAACTGCCGGCCCAGAACTGGCCGGAGGTTGTAATGTGTGACAGGAGGTTTCCGGTGTGGAAGCATGGCGGCAAACCGCGACCATCCGTGATACACCAACATTGGCATTATTATTTCCAAAAAGATTTTTGGGATCGTGCAGAGTTTTGGCGACGCAACTCAACCGGCGTTGGCGCGGAATGGTCTTATCAGCACTTTCGCTGGACTTGGGTTTTGACCTGCTACAAAGGCGCATGCGCGACGGTGCCGTTTGATCGGTCATGCAACTCGCTGCGCTTTTCTTCTCTGGGAAGCTTTCCGGGCTTCGAGTTGTCATACGGAAGAGACGTTAGGAAAGAAAAAAATGGCAAAAATGCACCCCTCGCTCTCCTCGTGGATTTCCGAAAATTCGCTTGCCTGCCATGTTCGTTCCTTTTTGTCCTTCGAGTGTTGCTTGTTCGAGCATCTTATTTACTTGACAATTATTTGGTTAAGTGATCCTGAAAAAAAAGTGCTAGCAGATTTGTGAAAATCACAGGGAAGCGAGTGGTGCAAGTTTGGTAATTTTTCCTGCATTCTGTCCTTTAATCCGAGAACGGATAAAGCTATCCAAGACAAGTTTTCGACCGTTCTCCAGCCACTAATTATTCCCTAGAAGGAAGCGCTTCACTTGCTACACGGAGGAAGCATTGACAGCTGGGTCCTGACACATATCCCGCTTTCTTATTATTTCATTTTCTGCCCACGGCGCCAAACCAACACCGGTTTTACTACCCCCTCTGTTTCGAATGCGAATCTCCACCCCCTGAGTTGCACAAAAATGCGAGGAAACAAGAAAAGAACGGCGCGCGACGATAGAAATTTGCTTGATGCCGGTCAATATTTGCTCACGAAAGATATAAATCACACTCCTGTAGCCGGCTGCCCTTCTTGTATACTGTGGTCTTCGAGCTTTTGCTTCGACTGTCTCGACTCAGCGATTACGATGAAGATCTGTCGAGCGTTGCTACTTCGTGGCGGCCAATCATGATCCAAAAATTAGAATACATAGTACTCACTGTTGCATGTTCGGAAAATGTTCCTTGAGGATGATGCTATTTTTTGAACCGAGTATGACACACAAAGGTTGGAAGAACCATAAAGAAAAGTCGAGGAGGGTTCTTCAAGGAGCACGTTTGGAAATCCTGTTGTGCCTAAAATAAAATCACTGGAAAGTAGTTAATGCCAATCACCTGGGAGCTTTGCTTTGAAGTGAAAACGTTCGCACTCACGGAATTTTATTACGCGACCAGAGCTACAAGTACAAATAAACAGAAATAAGAATCTTCTGCTTTTTCCTGTACACAAGAATCTGAGGCACTGTACAATTGCGAAGCCCTAATACTGTATGTAGGACCAAATTTGAATTTCCTTTTCTCTTCGACGAGTTTTCCTACCAAAAATAGACCCACTTAGATGTATTGTATAAATTTTGATGCCCAGTCTCACTTTAGCCATCCCCCACATAATCACAGTTTTGAGATAGAGGAAAATGGTGCTATGAGATAAAAAATGCCCGGGTATGTATAATCACCTTACGGGAGAACCGAGAATAAATCGGTGTGTGGATGTTGAGCACGCATAAGCGCGGGGACGAAACGCAAACGGACCGAATTGTACCAGTGCACACTATGCTACGGTGGAGAAGCAATTTCGGTTTTTGCATCTGGCTGCTGCGCCATGTTGTTGTTGGGGCAAGTATGTTCCTCGCTGGCACGACCTGCGCCGCTGCGGCTACTGCACAGGCGGGCCCTACTGCTAATGCAGGGAGCCAGGCGGGGATAAAGATAAAGCTGGACAGAACCGATTCATCACCGAAACAAAAACAAAATCATACCGGAACGCAGTTGGAGGCCTTGCAAGCGGAGGACAGGCCCGTTAGGACGAAGCAGCCCGTTGCCGTACCGGAAGTGCGGCGGGATCTTTTGAAGGACATCAAAAGTGTAGAGCCGGGGCTGCTTCTTTCTGGACCGACGAGTTTTTTGAATGAGCAGAGCGGCATCTTGAGCTTCTTATCCGCCGCGGACGCAGCCGCATTGTTGGGAACTGCCAAGCCGAATTCGGAAGCAGACGCAACGGGTGCACAACTTGCTGCAGCCGCCCGCGCACAGCAGACTCTGGGTAGAGCATTGGAAGACCGAACGGAGAGCTGTGAAGACCTCTACATAGAGGTTTTGCGCGAGCGGTTGGGCACAAAAATGCCTCGTGATTACTGGAACGCAACAGTGGATTTGGGCAGAGATTATTTACAGAAATACCAATCTGAAGTTGAAGTATCTCGAGCACAGGGTGGCAAACGAACTTCTGCGGCCGCTACGGATTGGAGCGTACTGCCTTTTTGTAGAGCCAGCACATTAATATATGTTTCCCTTCAACTCCGTTTTTTTTTGCTCGCCTGCCGTTGCCACTTGCACACGATTATTCTCAATGCAAGGCGAAGGTGGTGCGATCGTGTCGGCAATGCACTCAGACTCACTTCACTGGCTGCCACTGCCTGTGCGTTACTAGCGCTTGCCCTTTGAATAGATACTATCTATGCATCTGTAAAATTTCAACTCTAACCTTCTGTTTCAGGTAAGATTTCTGATGACCATGGTCAGGGAGACGTGCAATCCGGCTACGTTGTACGAAGCTGCAGGCAGTGTGGGCCTTTCCATCTTGCCGACCTACGACTCGGACAAGCTTCGAAAAGGGTGCCACAAAAGCGACAAGGCATTTTTTCGCGAGGTTCTGGATTTTTTCCACGAAGAATCATCTGCGACCCGAAGTGCAACGGTGGATAGAAACAAAAAAACTCAGACTGCAGCTGTTTCGGTGCGACATGTGGTAGTTTGGAACCCACCGGTCGCGCACGCTTTTTACAGGAAGAGCTGGAAGGCGTCGGAAGGCCTCCCTGTTTCTCCGTCTGACTTCGCGAGGAAAGTGAACATGGCGCGGAATCCAAATCGCTTGATTTTGGATCGAAGGTGCCGCGTGGCTATGGCAACGGAGTTTCTGTTTCAGAACTATGATCTTGTTTACAACACGCTGCCATTTCCGGTGAAGCACGGTAAGGTGATAAAATATGTGTGTCCTCGTTGAGAGTTGTGAATGTGACCGTTACAGCGCTATTGGACGTACGTTGATATTGATATGCGTATGCTACACCAGCGTGCCGCGCACTTATTTCAGTGTGAACCTAGCTATCGTGTGTGGCCGGCCCTTCCATTAAAGCTTATCTTTGCTCCTCAGCTTCGACTATGCCTGGCTTCGTTTTGGTTCTGAATCGTTGCGGCTTTAGCACCTGGCGACCGATGGCGCAACCCGTCCTATTCTTGTTCAAAGAATTTTTGTGTCTGAAACTAAACCTAAGACCAACATATCCATAAATAATACAGGTTACTGCCTGAACCCAGATTTGATAAATGCTGTCGACCCACGTCTCCGGGCAACGCCAGTTAGAAGGGAACCGCTAGACGAAAGTTGGTACCCATTTTTCCGCAAGATTTTTCGGAAATTTGCGAAGAAGTGGCGGAGTGGTTCCGATGGTGTAGGTCTCGGTTGGTCGTACAATCAACTTCAGTGGGACTGGCGAAGCTTCCATGCACAGCGCCTGCGAGATCGTGGATCATACGAAAAGCTTCTCGATAAACGCGCACCACTTGTGCCGAAAAGGCTCTCTGACAATCCGAGAAAATTTTTGGTCTTTTATCCTTCCAAAATCGACAACGGAAACGGGTCTCAGGGGCAAAGCTGATGTGGAATGTGGGCTCGTGTTTTCGTTTGACGCTATTCTAATTTGACAGCAAAGCAGGTGGAGAAATGGGAGTGCAACTACTTCGCACCAATGGCCACAGCCTTCAGGAAATGTAGAAAATCTCCTCCAGTTCGTTTTACGAAACACCAACGAATTATTATCTATGTATTTATATGTGATGCAGCAGCTTTACGCACTGACTTTGTTGTATGATTATTTTTATACTTTTATGATATTTAACGCCTATGAATGTTGCAATATTTTCATATGTGCCATAGAATATTGATATTCATATGCGAAAAAGAGGAATGTAGTCGCGCGCTCTTTATCTGCGCATCATCCAGTTTCGGCTGGAGTTTGAACAGCGGCGACGGAAGGAAGGCTGCTGCTTTTGTTGGCCGTGTACTTGCTTATGTTTAGTCGTGAAAAAAACCTATTCTTTCAAGATTAGCCGGCGTAACGAAATCGAACGTCAGGCATAAAGCACAGAAATGCGCTTGGGGGACAGAAATTTAATTGGGGTCCTACCATGCAGATTATGGATGTACAATGTGACTGAATATAACAACCGCGACTCCTGTAAAATGCGGCTCCTGCGTGTAAGTATGCGTGTTGCGATTCCTGTTTTTTAGATAAGTTCAAACGCGGAGTTCTACTTTCTCAGGAACATGAATATGAGCGCAAAGAATTTTAGTTCACGCGCACGCCCTCGACGAGGCCATAGGGTTCGCTTTGCTTGCTTTCATTCCCGCATCGTTTAAAGTTTACGCCGAGAGCTCGTGAGCACTCTGAATAGACCCACAAGCAAGATCAAGAGCGAATAGATAGCGTTCAAATGCTTGGAATGGTCATGATACAAATGCATTAGTTCGGAAAATTGACAATCGGATTGAGAAAGCTGATCCGCAAGAACCCGAATCACCAAGGGTCATCGTTCAAAAAATAAAATCATGCTGATCATGAATCAAATAGCAATTCTCGGGATCATGGTTCTAATCTGTCTGAGTGTCTGCAAATTTGGTAGGCAGGCAAATTGTCCGCATGGTAGAGGTTGATCAGATAGATATTGCTATGAACATTCCCGACCGAAAAAATAGCTTGCTGCACCCGATCAAAATTAAGAGCTTGCTGCAGCAAATTGGCATTCCAGGAAACTTCAATCGGTAATGTGCAGCCAGTCCCGTCATCGCAAAATTGCGTTTATTCTACCTCTCTCTGTCACAGCTGGTCCTATTAATCTCGTCTAATCGCAATTTCACGTATGAAAATTATTTCAGTATAATCCTTCTTCATCTTCTTTCTAGTAGGTGCCTTGTGGCAGAGGTGCTTCTTCATCTTCAACTTTCTAGTTTGTGGCATAAGTGCTTTGTAGACGAGTAGTAGTGTTGTTTAAACCAGTATCGGTCCAAAGTTCAGTATCGTCACGAATAACAGTTGACTGACTTCATTGGAATTGCTTCTACTTTCATTCCGTGTGACCATGGTGTCGCTTGAAAGAGCTTGTATACGACCGAGGGGATTGCCTTCTCGACAGGCGCAGGTGGGTTCGTTGCTGGTTTTGTTTTGCCAGCTATATCACCTATTATCGAGCTTTGCGTCGGCCGCGGCGAGCGCTTCGTCTTCTTCCGGCTTCCGGGCAACTGGTGAAGCTGGCGAAACAGCAGCTGGACGCTCATGGAAGTCCTTGGGGATAAAAAACTCACACTTCGGGTGCGAAGACTGTCAGAAGTATGTGTCCGCCTTCTCGGAGATCAGAGAGGATTTCCTCATCGATCAGCGGAGTGGGTTAGGACTTGCTCCCGATGCAGCCGACCAAATTCTGGCAGACCTGCATCAGGTTTTGGGCCGGGAGCTCGGGATCATTCGGGCCTCTCGCCAACGCAGTTTGCGCTTCGTCCAGTGGGAAAACGGCCTTGATGTGGACCCAGCAGCGGTCATCAAAGAAATTGTACTTCCTCTCAGTGACGGATTCGGGCGTGAATCATGGAGACGTGCATTAGTGGAATGTCACAGCATGATATTCAAAATCGACGATCGGATTTTGATTGAAGCGCAACAACTTCTTTTGCTACCCTACTGCATGAGTATATCATTATTTTAGTGATGAAGCTGCTTTTTACTTTCGTCAAATTTGAGTTTCTCTATGACCCGTACTTTCGTCCCCTCTGTGCCAGTTGTCTGATTTGTTGGGTGAATGCCTCCTCAGCCACACAACGTGTACGAAAACCACAGGACAAGACCTTTACGCCGCCAACCCCAGAACCCATGCAGAGTGGAAGAGACTGTATTTTCCGGAAATAGCTGCGGGGGGCAGTGACGATGCTCTGAATGCGAGGAGAAAGAAGGAGCGTTACTGCCGATCATTGTATGTGATGTATATTGCCAGAAGCGACGACAGCGACCCCAATGAACCTGCAGTTGTTTTACAAAGACGGCGCGCGGAGTCAATGCTCCTAGCTAACAACGACGAATCGTTGACCACACGCTTTGGGGAAGCTCTGCACCATTGCGCGAAACGACCGACCGACGAGCGGGGGCAGAGTACATTTTATGTGTGAACTCTGTTGATGTGCGTGCACTTTTCTAGCGTGCGTTTGCGAGGATGAAGAGAAGGCTTAGTACCGAATCTCGGAAGCGTCAGGTCATGCCGCATGTTGGCCGACTTTCACGTATCCGTTTCCTTCGATACCACATGCATAGTAATCACCAGCGCCACGATATTCAACTATCCTAGGAGATGAATGCGCTCTTTGCCATGCTGTCAAAGCACTGAGCGCTTTTTCTTCCGCGGACGATTACGATTCTGCATTGCATTTGAACACTGGACTTTCTCTATTGCATTAGCGCATTCTGGGTCGCGCGCCGTTTGGATGATTTTATTTACCAGTTGCAACAATTGTAAACCTCACAGGTATCGATGTGGGCCCCGGAGTCGAGTTTGTGCAGCTCGGCGTCACTGTGCCAGGCAGTGGCGATATGAACCGGAAGAGCGTGCCTTCTCGGACTTCCTTTTACTCTTCGGGGATTTGTAGTCGCAGACACAGAGCCGCAATGCGCACAAACGGTTTACTTTTGATGCACTGGACCGTTTCGGCTTCATTGCTCTGCTGCACTTCATGCGAAGGAAAATATGCATGTTGATTATGCTGAAAGCACAGCTCCTGTAGCTGCTCGTTCACATAAATCTGCTAGTCGTGTTGGTGCTCCTTAAGACCAGTATGTGTGATATTACTGCGGAAGGTTTTTTCTTGGCTGGTAGGAGTAGGGGCTCTGCACTTCTACGAAAGATTAACTTTAACACCTCTAATAGAGGTGTTGCGAAGTCGAGGACAGCACTAAGCTTTGCTTTCATATAAGAACCGGGGTTCTTCGTCGTGGCTCCTACTTTTCCGGTTTTCCTGAACAGGAAGCTGAAGGATATGTACTGGCCGATTAGTGCTGCAATGCGTGCCTACGAGGAGCACAACCTCCGAAAGAACAATAAGGGACTCCGGATGCCTGCCGGTCTCCTTTCGACAGCACGTTTTGAGCGTCACACGACGAAGCAAACAAAGGCCGGCACCTTGGCAGCGCCGACGCTGAGTAATCAAAGCGACGACTGGTCCTTTTCCAACCCAAAAATTGCGAATTTTTCTCCCAAAGCCCTCAACGAGATGATGGATGTGCGCAACGGTGTGGTTGCATTGATAAATGGCATCGAGGGAATGCACCTTGGCGCACGCCAATCTTCGTCACGTCGTCCCGCCCAGCGGTCCCAGGTGCAGGCCGAAGGCTACCTTGCCTTGCGTGTCGGGCTGTCAAACCCCCCTCGCATGCCAGGTTTGAAGATATCTGTTTCTGTTCAGCTGCTGAACTTCAGCATCCGCAAAATAACCATTATTTTGAATCCAAAATCTAGTAAAAGTACACTTCGTGATAGTTTTAGTTTGACTACTAGTATGTACAAAAACTCATTTACCAATATTCTTTGGCACAAAAGATGAAGTATAAAAGGGAATAGTGATGAAACTTTTCGCACTCAAAACAGGTTCGTCCGGGCCCCCGCGTGGAAGAGGTGGTGATGACCCTGGTGCCGGTGGTGGTGGTGGTGGCGGCAATGATCAAGGGGGTGACAAACGTGCAAAGAGGAACCACCGTGACGGAAACGACCCACAAAATGGGGGAAATGGGCGAGGTGGCGAACTAGTTGGCTCCGTGGGCCGCGATAGCCAAATTAACTTCATGAGGGCGTCGAGGACCTTTGGGCACCAAGAAGCTCTGCTTACATTTCTGGGGGTGGTGGTCATACGGCCCAAACCAGGCGAGGCACAAGTGGAGCCCGTTGCCTGGTGGAACAAGGACCAGTACCCCCGGGGCGCCAAAGAAAAGCGGCAGCGACTCCAACAGACAATTCGCAGCGCCATCGCAAAGGCAGCACCTCGACTCGGAAATGAAGACGCCTATCTCCTGGTCAATGGCCTGACGGAGTTTACCCAGGAGAAGCCGGCTGAGGATACGTCTTCACTGCACCAGGAGCACGACGCGGGACAGGTTTCAGAAACTCTTTTAACTGGTGGACTCATCGTGATTGTATTGTTCCCGGTCCGAGCAAAAGTATCTTGTTTAGAACACGAGTATTTTTCCAAATACGTCCACTGGTCTTTCCTTGCAACATCGTGACTTACTTCACTAATATATTATATCTGAATTTACTATTGCAACTGAAAAAATCAGGTCGCCTTGGTTGCCCGTAGCGCGAAGAACGACGGAATATTTGCAATCTCGATTTGGAAGAAGAGCAGCAATGCGATTTCCGCAGGAAAGGTTTTCCTAGCAAGTGCCCTACTGCAACAACTCGCCAGAGTTGCGCACGAGAGTCGAAAGCGTTTTTTTATTGGGTCGCCAGCACTAGCCCAAGTCGCTACCGCGTTTGACAATATTTTACTGTGGAACGAAGCGTTCTCTCTTACCGCGGCAAGAGGATCAGGAGACAGCGGAGACTCCGTGCAGGAACCACGAGGCATTGAGGCAGTGTGGGACTTTATCCCGGAACTTCTGCGTAAAGAACAACCGGAGACCGAACCAATGCTGACAGCAGCAAAGCCGGCCTTTGCCAAGGTGGGAAATTTGGGGAAGCCTCCCCGATCACTGTTCCCGGAAGCAGGACGCAAGTGCACTGCCGGATTCCCGGAACCAAGTATCGGGTCAGCAATGTCAGGCGTCGCATCTGGGAGTAAGGCGTTCTGTCCTGATCTGAAGATCGACTCTGCGCCAGGAAGTTCTAGACGCCGAACGCAGTCTGCGGACAAAACGCACTGGGACGACGTGCAGGTGGTTGGAAGCTATGCCGTGGGCCCTAGCGGTCCCTTGCCTGCGCCGAGGACGAGCCTCACTCTGCCGTATGGAGGTACAACGGACGCGGAGCAGGTGGAGGTTAGGTTTTCGTGCCCGGTTGGAGACGAAGTCGATGCAGCATCAGACGAGGATGAAGGCTTCGAAGATGAGCAGCAGGAGCTGCCATTGAGCGAAATAGATTCTGATGCCGATGTCCCGCCGCCCTCCGATGTGAACTCGTCTCGAAGCAGTACTCCCTCCCGGAGCGGTGCGGGCGACACCGATGGGGAACATGAGTCGGCAGACCGAGGGCAGTTTCCTGGAAGCCGTCGATCTTCGCGGGCAGCAAGTCCTGGCGCGCATTCGCAAACGTCGTCCTCGTCCCGGCGCGCAGGTCTTCAGCGCGCCCCCGATAATCGCCGTCCTCGTCCAGACAGCGCACCCCCGACAGGCGATGGGAATGGGCCGTCGGCAGATCCTTTTGGACTCAACAATCTGCATCTGAACTTTGTCGGCGTTTTCAAGTTTACCGGCACCCGTAGGGATATGCTAGCAGCTTGGTGGAACAGAGACTCAGCGCTTCTCCCAGACAGAAAAAGAGACGAGGCCGCTCGCGAATTAAGCAAGAGCCTCTGTGGAGGGTCGTATAGCGAGCGCAGGTGTGCCGGCGACCAGCATCCCCTTGAGCAATGGTTATTGGAACCGCCAATGGACGCACGTTGGGTGCCAAGAAGCTACAGAAACATGCCGGATTTCTTCTTCCGTACGGGCTGGGTGCGGGGGTTGCCGCAGGTATAGTTATAAAAGTAAGCTATTTGGCAGTGCAAGTCCCTGCAGTGGCCGGCGTAACTTTCGTTGGTGCAGAAAGCGACAGCACGTTGCGATCCTGTTCCTGGTGATTTTAATGTTGGGGCTTTTCGCTGCAATATTCGCTCCTCAGCAGATGTAAGTAGAAAAATGAGAAATAAATACGCGCGCTCCATCGCGTTTGGGTAAAAGTGGAAATTCATCAAATTCAAAGTGTCCACTGACTACAAAGACGACTGCCGGACACGTCGGCACTGAGCGTTAGAACTACACTGAGACGTATCTATAGTAGATAGAACTAGAAGAGGCGCAATCATCTCTATATAAAAACCATCTATACAGGAACTTCATCTCGTCAAGCCCGAAGATGAAGAAGTTCGCGACGATGGTATCGTAATTATTGCCTCGTGCAACGAAATCCGTCCGAAGCCAGAGTTTCGCGAGGAAGGCGATGCGTACAACACATCCCGGAGACAGTTCATCAACACATTTCTCCAAAAGATTGCCGGATATGTGGGTGAAAAGCTGCAGCCGGTGCTCGACACGCCTGATTTGGACAGGAAACGGCGCGCGATCGAGCCAGGTGTGTGGTTCATGGCGAATCGGTTTCGCGCAAATTTAGCGGAAGTGCGGGACTTGAGATCTGTCATGGGCGCTATGACTCGCCCGAGTATCGACGCCGCTGAACTCCGAAGCCTTCCAGAAGAACAAGGCCAAGGGCAGTCCTCATCTGGTAGCCGTCAATCTTCGCGAGCAGCAAGTCCCGGCGCGCATTCGCGGCAGTCGTCGTCCTTTTCCCCGCGCGCAGACCTTCAAGCTGCAGCGAGCACACATGGAGTACGCGGCACAGATGAAGCTCAGTCAGGTGATGACGGATTAGCTTCCGAAGGCGGCAGCGCTCCGGTGCCAAATCAAACACTTGTGGCTCCTGTTGCCAACGTGGAGCAGGCGGTGGACCCGACGTCCGAACACGGCCGCCCTCATTCACGCCTAGAGCCTGCAACTGACATGACGCCTGATGCTGAGCGCGAAGACCGCTCTTCACTCGCTCCGCGAGCCGTCGCCCCCCAAACACAGGACCGAATCCTGCTGGCCAACAACCGCATGGTGCATTTTGTTGGCGACTGTGCCCGGGCCTGTCTGGAAATTTACACCGACATGGGTGGCACCGGCGTTGGTACCGATCTGGCGTCCTCGCTGCTACCGGACATTCTGCAGAACATCTCGGTGATCGCGCAGGTCGTGCAGCGACACCTCGCGTTGGCCAGTCGAAGCCTCCGCACGATCTTGCAGCTGCTACTGCTAGTCGCAGTGCTTACGCGGACCACCTTCACCGCGACCCCGACCGGATTCAATCTGCAGTTCAACGGGCCAACCGCAGTGCCCACCTCCCTCGCCGATGTCTCATCTGGGGGTGTCCTCATCGTAAAGGACATGGGAATGCTGTCCTGGGAAAGGCGGCGGGCGACGTCCCGGCCCGCGGCCCGCCGTAAGAAATCCCACGTCCGATCGATCAAACGAGCCTCCACGATGGAACAACCGCGGCCGCAGCCCGTGCTGTCGCAGTACTGCCTCGCGAACGGCCAGCCGGGAGCGAGCTATTGCACGGTGGGAGATATTAATATGGCCGCTTGTTGCAGCGTTTCCGGGGACATGTTCGCGACCGGTAAGGAAAAATGGTGGTCGCACGAATTCAGCAACAGCTCCTTGCGCGTCACGATCGCGGCGCCGACCTGTGAGCCCGCGCTTTGGTCCCGCCTGACGGACATCGTCGGCGCACAGGTGCTGCAGCACGCAAAGGACGCTGGCACGGCGCGAGTCATCACCACGGCCGTGCGGGAACACGGGATGTCCCCGTGCGAAGTGCGCATCAACGACCGGTACGTGCGCGAGGCTGAGTACTGTTCCGCGAAAGGCGACGAGCACCAGTCCGTGTACTGTCCGCAGCCCGGCAACGGGGCCAAGGAGTGCATTCAGCGCCGCGTAGTGTCCGAGGACGCTGCTGTTGGGACTGACAGGAGCGTCGTGGGCTTCCGGTGGGCCACGGTGGAAGGCGAGCCTGAAAAGTGCGATGGGTACGACATGGAAGAGCTGGGCCGCCGGCTCTCCCAACTGTCGGTGAAGACCAATCGGCCAAAGAGGTGCGTCGACGGGGTGCTGCAGATGCTCCGCACTGTCGGTGGAGACGGAGGTGGCGATGACGAAAACCGCGACGAGGGTGTGCGGCGCGGCTTCGGGAAACTCCTAGCCGAGGTGTCCAAGAAAATTTTCTCGTGGTCCGCGCAGCAGAGAACGACGCCGGCCGAGCCAGAGCATGTCCTCCATCTCGAGCGCAGCTACCACTCCGCGCAGGCGGAGAAGCGAGAGCAGTGGAAACAACGCGAAGCAGCGGAGGCAAAGCTTTTGCGCAAACAAACGGGAGGACGAACAGTTCGGGGACAAGACCGATCGCAGCCGCATAAAGGCACGCGCGGACGAAACGCTTCTAAGCGCGACACAAGAGGTCAGCGGCGCGGGAAGAAAAGCTGGAAAAAGGTCCTGAAGCCCGGAGGGGAGAGAAAGAAATAAGAGGGGCTACGACAACGAAACTTCGAATTGGTTTCGGACGAAGGAGTGATAGCGCCCTTTGTAACGAACAGCAGCCGGGCGGGCGTTGGTGTCAATTATTGCAAGGGGCATTGGGCCTGAATTTTTTTACCGTGGCGAGACAGCCTTGGCTGAGCCTCCGTATCCAGCATGGATGGTGTAAATGGAATTGATAAATAGATGGAGCTCATCTACGTTATCCAAGAAAAAGTAGTGGTCTCTTAGTCCTGATCGATGTATTTGACCTGTATGATCTTGATTTTATTTACTGTGATGAACGCCGACTGCGTAGCCTCACATTCTAGCTTTGGAACTGCTACGATGTGAAGACGGGCGTGTATGCACTCCGAAACAGAAATAAGGGGTTGCGTGCATGACTTAGAAGAGACAAAGAAATGGTGACAAGTTTTGATGTGGGCGTTGAAGTTTGACGTAAGTTTACGTTTTTTTCCCGCTGAAGCATTTTTCTTCTTTACACGTGAAACGTGAAACGAACGGATTTTCACAGAGCAGGAGTTTACCATCAGAAAAAGCACGGAGACTGCTACAATAAGGCGCGGCGCCAACAACCACAGCAAAAGTAATGACCTATAGTATGAGTTTTGAAGCTCGAGAAGTTTTTCACCAGTAGTAGAAGAAACGCCCGAAGGCATATGGTGACCGGAACAGAAAGTAGTGCTTCCTTCATTATGCGGTCCACTAACATGAATGATTTACTCAACATGAAGGTTCAGCCTCTGTACTAACAATTTTAACCAACATGAAGGAAAGTTTATCGCTTATGACGCCAACTTTAGTTTGAATTGGAATTCCTGGATTACTCGACTTTCTTTTCGTTGTATATGTATTGAAGAATTGCCTGACCTACACAAAGAATGACACTTAAGTACTACAAAGAATCTGAACGGCACGAACGCGGCCAGTTCTTTTTGGGAAGGCAAAGTAAGTAGCTGTAGCTAGACTCGAGTGTATAATCAGCATACTTCCAAGTGAGAAATCCAAGCATCGCAACAAGCCTTGTGCAGTGGATGATCCAAGGGACAGAAATGAGAAAAGTAGTGCCCTGCGCTCTATTTCTGTAAGCCATTTTTGTTTTGTGGTGTTCCTGTGGTCTGACCTCGCACAAGGAAGCTGCTCTCGTGAATCGTGGCAATGGTCTGCCGTATGTGCTATTGAGTTTGCCTGCTTTGCTGCCCTTGCTCTTTCGTCCGAGTTTTACGCCTGGAGAGGTTCTTCTTGTTCAAAAATCCGTCGTCCTTCCAGTTCTCGTCTAACCGGAGGAGAAGTGTTGTTGATCATTATCCACAGTACCCAGTAGAAACCTGTCAGTCACCAGAAGGGGCCACTTGAAAAATGCAGTGCTGTAATAAAGTGGAAAGCTTGCGTTCGAACAAAAGCAGACTTGCGTTCGACTGCAATACAGTTTTTCATTGCATGCTGTCAAAAGTGGAAAGCTTTTGGCACTCATGCAACACAGATTTTTGCATGATTCGGATTTAGCATGACAAGTTGCAATCTTCCAGACCCAGAGAGTTTTGCAATGCATAGTGGGGGCCCAACTACTATTGGAAAAATTTTTTCAAGCACCAGGACCATCGTCGAGGACAACAGCAAGAACAAAACTGCCCGAGAAGATATCAAAAGAAAAAAGTTCGTCACGATCACTCACGGGCATTTTTGCAAGACAAAATTGTCTGTCATGCGTAAAAATGCATCACAGCCTCACTTCATAAGGGATTTCCCTAGTGTTTCTGCAATACAAGGAGAGGCTGTGATGCAAAAAAAATTTGTAATGCAAAACCTGCAACTTAGTGACTGTGACAAACTTTTTTCTCTCCATAGAAGATGATCATCATCTATGCATTGCAAATATCGATCTGAGTCTGAAACTGAATCTGGAAGCATTCAAGTGGTTTGTCATGCTTCTCTGCCATCGGACAAAAAGATGGTTCTATCTGTAGTGACGCAAAAGCGCAAGAAACTGCAATTATGCGGAATACGCAACACAAAGCAGCTCAAAAACTTCTCATGCTTGTTGGCCACATATTGAATTGTTTTTCACAACATGTGTGAAGGCGAAAGTTTGTTTTTCGAAAGTTTGTCTGATAGTGCTGGAAGGAAACAAAAGCAAAACTTAAACTGCTGCTGTCTATAAAACAAGACCTGATGTTGGAATCAGAATCCAATGGGGATTTGCGCTTTGGTGTTGATGCAAAGAACAAAAATTGCGAAGGCTGGATGAGGTGGATGGAAGATGGCAACTGTTTCGTTTCTGTAGCATTTTGGGTTGATGGAGATTTTGAAGAATTTTCGTTCACGCTTGGCTTTGTATCAATTGGCTTTAAAAACTCTCATCTGCTTAAAAAACGCGAAGAATTTTTTTCACACAACAAAAATTAGCTTGAGTTTTGTGTCTGATACAGTCAGCAGTGCAGAAATGGAAAAAATGGAACACAACATAGATCTACTGTCGCTACCTAGTGCGGCAAGCCTTATATAAATAAGATGAATTGAAGCGATCATAGAAACTACACTGTCTATCCGCTTGATATGATAAGCTGTCAACCTAAAACTCGAGGACATCCTTTCTGGTCCTGTTTTGTTCATCATCTCGAGACAGTTGTATGAAGAAAAGATGCAAAAGGAGCTTGATTCGGACAAGTCTTTTCTGAATGCAAAGGTCGCGGATCCTTTGCCGCTGTCGTCCAGGATGATTGGGACGGGCAAGAGCACTTTTGCCAGCAATGTCAACGACGGCAAGAACCGCGTGGGCCCCCACTGCCGCGGCGTCCTCGCCAGCAACTACTTTATCCAGAAAGACCGGGCGCAGGCAACATCTTCCCGGGTAGAAGGAGAGAGCAAGCTGCGCTCGCGTCATGATCTCCGCGAAAGAAGTAGTGGCGCAAATACGAAGCCGCATCGGGATCATCCCAAAGCCGGCGAAGCAGCAAAAGGAATTATGCTCAGTGGTCACAGAAATAATTCCAGTGCATCGTCCGGCTCGGGTGGAGATGAAAGAGCTACAGATAGAACGACAACCGACGCAGCTAAGAACAAGGCCAGCCTTATTGTGAGCGGCCCGAGGAACGCATTCGGTCCCAGAAACAAGCGGTCCTGCTCGACAGGAGCCCAGAACCCAGCTACGTCGCGCTCGCGGGCGAGGAGCGCGAAGCGCATCAAATTCGATATGAAAGTGCATAAGTCCCCCTCCCCCTCATTTGTATTGCATGAACAGCAATACAAGCGTCAGCAACAATACAGGTTTTGCATGACAAATTTGGACAGGAGTCCAGTGTCATTTGGGCTGTGCCAGAACTTGTCATGCAAATAGTGCCAAGAGCCAAGGCGCATTGAATTAGGCTCTTTGCATGACAAATGACGGGGAGGGGGAGTTGTGCACTTTCAAATTCGAACAGGAAAATGTAAAAGAGGATGACACTGCAAAGCGAGTGGTCTTGAATATCAAAGTGAAAAAAGCCCCCACCCCATAGCGGAAACGGAAGATGCGCGAATTTGTGATGCTGTATTTGAGTACACAAATCGACTTGTATTGCTAGAAGGCCAAGAGACGAAGCTGCGGCGTAAATTGCAGGCAATCTGTCATGCTGTTTCCCACTTCCAGTTGCCTCCTGTCATCCTCGAGCTGCAACACTTTCCCACACTAGACAGCACTACAACCCTCTAGCATTTTTGCCCTCTAGCATCACAAAGCTGATTTGTGCCCACAAATCTGCATCACAGATTTCCGTTTTGATATGGGGAGGGGGGATTTTTCAGTGTGATATTGAAGATGAATAAATCGAACCACCTGCAGGAGGGGGCGGACCCGGACGCTGCAAAGGACACGACCTCGGAGGTGGAAAGAAAAACCGCGGTCCGCGCATCAATCAAAACTAATACGGATCACGACCTCGACGAGACTGTTACCATTGTTTACGCGAACCAGAAACTAGACGACAACTACGAGAAAGAACTCATTCATCAGCACCTCCTCTCCCCGGAGCAACGACGGAAAACCGGCTTTGCGCAAGGCGGTGACAAGGACATTGCGGCGAAGCTCGAAATTTTATTGCAGTCGGAACTCCGCGAGATTTGGCGACTATCCTGTGCAAAAGTATCGCACCCGTAGTAATCGCAAACATGGATTACAAATCTTTTGCTGAAGGAAAAGGTAAGTCCGCATTACAAATTTTATTTTTTATGCTGAGGAAATCCGTAATGCATTTATACGAGTGCGATACTTTTGCAATGCATAGCGACGGATCAGCGACGAGAGGCGGGAGGCTGCGGTGCGGGCAGATTGTTTAAAAATTTACCTAACCCAGACGACCGGAAAACTCGATCAGAAGGGCATCAAGGGTATCAAATGTAAAAGTGTCTGGGTCTGGAAGAATGCAACTTGTCATGCTAAATCTGGAGCATGCAAAAATCTGTGTTGCATGATTACCAAAAGTCGTCCAGTTTTGACCAAGTCGGGAGGGAGTTTCTCATGCAGGATAGGCATCAGAGAGATCCCACAGAGTCTGTCATGCTAGGTCCTGCATTCCAGACCTCATGGGCCATGGAAAAGCTGCATGACAAATCGCTCATTCTTCCAGACCCAGACGTTTTTGCAATGCATCAAGGGCCTAGCGCTCGGGATCCGGGAGTGCTTTCGTAGGGAACACAACACGCTGCCGATGTTATTAATCCGGCGCACAACCCAACAGCAAGAACCGCCGCGGTCCAGGTCGTCCCGGGGGCGGTCGTCCTCAGCCCGGCGTGCGATGAATAAAGGACCCGCTGTATTTTTGAGTAGTACGACCCCTGCGGTAACACAGGGCAGCTCAGTACTAGTCGATACTATCAAGATATCCCACGAAAAAACTGTTTCACTGTGCTGATTTTGCAAAATCTGCATCACAAGTTTGTTACGCATGACACTGAAAATCTGTCATGCGGGGTTCCCAAGGGAATACACAGCTAGAAATCAACTGTCTTGCATGTGTAGCATGACACACACGTCTGCGATCCATTTTCTGCATCACAAGTTCACAGTGAAACAGTTTATTCTTGCGATACAAGAAGACTGCAGATGGACGAGGATCTTCAGGTAGATCGTCACCTGCTGCTTGCTCCGTCCCCCCGTATGCATTGCAAAAATGTCTGGGTCGGGAAAGATGCAAGGTTTGTCATGCTTGTCTGGCATGACTGAAAAGTCTGTGATGCGTGTCCAAGAAGAGACCCATTTGCTTGTCATGCAAAGACGCAGTTTGTCATGCGGAAAACGCAACACTGTAGCCCCGCAAATATTTCTCATGCTTGGCTGTGCATTACAGAGCACTTACTATTCACAACTCAGCATTACAAGTTTCCAGACCTAGACATATTTGCATTTGATACCCCTATCAAGAAGACTGCAGCTGGATCGTCCCCTGCTGCTTGCTCCGTCCCCCCGCGGCCAAAAACGACGTCGAAAGGTGGAGTGAACAGACCTTCAACCAGCAATACCACCTCCGTCGCCGTTGCGAAAAAAGGCGAAGATGACAACGGGTCGTCGTCACGCGGCTACGTCTTGTTGCAGGAGCCCGGCGTCGTGCAGAAGATCCACTGCGCGTCGTCGGCGACCGGCCTGCCTAGTGACTATCGAAAGGAAAAATCCCCCCTCCCCATATCAAAACGGGATACTTCTGAAAATTTGTGATGCCGATTTGAGACCTCAAATCGTCTCTGTATTGCAAGAAGGCAAACCCAAAAACCCCGCCGCGTTCTGCAGGCAATTGGTAATGCTGTATGTCCTAAGGAGGACGCGCCTGCCTTGCTAGGGGCCTACACCAAATGGCCTCTACTCGGGCTTTGCATCTACCTGCAGTCTTCTACTGCAAGACAAAGGCGATTTGGGTACACAAATCCCGCATCACAGATTTCCATTTCGATATGGGGAGGGGGGATTTTTCCTTTCGATAGCGACCCGCGGCTGTTTGGTACAACAACAGCTGATATGACGAGCAAGAAATATCAAATGTAAAAATGTCTGGGTCTGGGAACTTGTGATGCTGGGTAGCGTCTCATGATGAGGCTACAAATGCTGGGTCAGCATGACAAGTTTCTGAGCTCCTAGCTGTTGCCTATTCTGCATGACAAACTGCGCTTCTGCATCACAGAAAAACGGAGCTCTTGGGTAACGTGCATGACAGATTTAAGAGTCATGCCAGACAAGCATGACAAACATATATTCTTCCAGACCCAGACATTTTTGCACTTGATAAGAAAAATCCTACGGCTACTTCTTGCGTCGATTATTTCACCGAAGAAAGTAGATTCTCTTTCCCTGGTAGTAGTTCTTCTCTGTCACTACAAGAGCCGGAAGACCGAGCAGCCAACCACCTGCGGAAACGCACCACGCCGCTGCCCCCGGAAAAGCGGCACAATGTGCTGTCGTGTTATCCCCTGCAAGATGAAAAGCATCGCAGTCGTACTGGTAGTGTGGTAGCTAGTAGTCGCGGCCACGCATGACAGATTTATCGTTTTGCTATTGCCTGATACTGATCTTCTACCTAGCACGTTGACAAACTGCGTTTTTGTTCGTGAAGTAAAAATTTGTATTGCAATTCGACTCCGAACCGCCGGAGTAATATTAATGCTATGCTGGCTGTTTTGTAGTACTCATTCGACGACAATTTTGATTTTGCAATGCATACATTTCCTCCGAAGTCAATTTTGAAGAAACCAACAGCGCCAACGATCCCGCAGTGGACGACGAGTACCGCCAGCGCAGAGGCATATCACATGCAAATATGTCTGGGTCTGGAAGAATGCAAGTTTGTCATGCTTGGTCGACAATAGAGAAAAGTCTGTCATGCTCCGTGCGCTACAGTGCCACTTGTTTGCCATGCAAAAAGGCAATTTTGCCATGCGGTTGACGCTAGATAGAGTCGCTCAGAAACTTGTCATGCGCTGCTTCGCAATACAGTGTGCGTATGATTCGGACACTCGCATGACAACCCAGATATATTTGCAATGCATAAGGCAACAGGAGTAACTGCAAAGCAAACCCCCCTCGGCATGAAAAACTACGTGCCGGAAGAACTACGAGGAACGCGCTCGGTACTACTAGATCAGGAAGTGCATAGCGCTGACAGGAGCTGCTCCTGCAGCGCCATGACCCGAAGAAACGGGCCTCAAGACGTCGGAGATGGAGGAGACGCTTTTTTGAATAACGCTTGCACAGCACGACGACGAACAAGTGAGACAGGACAACTTCTCACGTCGGCAGATGTTGCACGTGCACATACAACAAACTATAATGGACGCTGCGCGGCCGCGGGAGTATCATCAACAAGCGATCGAACGCCAGCATTCGTGAAGGTGGACGTGCAAGAAAAGGTGGATGAGGCCCCGGCCTTTCAACCACCACGATCATCTTCTTCACGCCCGGAAGAAGTTGCAGAGCGTGGTCCACTGTCCTTTATTCCGAGAGTCGATTTCTCATCCATTTTGACCCGTCTCCCGGAATCTGTTATCATGAAAAGTGCTAAAAGCGGAGGAAGCAGGAGTAGTCTTCCCGGCTGTAGTCTGAAAGAGGAGGAAGCCGGTGGCAGTGCTGCAACGCGAGAAGCAAAGAGCTTCGAGCAAACGCGTTCAGCTTGTGCTGGCGCCATAGAGGAGCAGGACACGACCACGAGGACAATATTAACCGGAGCTGGGTTGTCCTCGCTACGCCTTCACGACCCGCCGTCTGAATATCAACTGCAAAAATGTCTGGGTCTGGAAACTTGTAATGCTGCGTTGGGAATAGTGAATGCTCTGTAATGCACAAGCGAGCATGAGAAATATCTGCGCTTCTCTGCGTTGCGTTTTTCGCATGACAAACTGCGTTTTTGCATGACAGGCAGAAGGGTCTCTTCTTGGACACGCATCACAAACTTTTTGGTCATGCCGGACAGGCATGACAAATCTCAGACATATTTGCATTTCATACTGAAGACAAGTCTACAACTCCGAGCCCCGTCGAAGACGAGGATATGGAGATGGAGTTCTCAAACGTTACATTCTCAACTGTTACAGGAATTTGTCATGCAAAACTACCGTAAGCCGCAAGAAGAGCAAGCTGCTTCGCATGACAAATCTTCGGAGGCCTAAACAGCATCTAAATCTGTGCCAAGTCTGTGATGCGAAAGCAGCAAGCTTGCCCCTTTGACGGTTGCGGTTCTTGTGAAGCTGTACAAACGGGTACCCCTGACGGTACGGGCCCTCTTATACAAAATATGTTCATGAGTAAACAGGAAAAGTGTACAAAAAAGGCACGAAATTGTAGAAAAGAGAAGACGGACGGGGCTGTGCAACGGGGCACCTCCGAACACGGATTTGTATAGGAAACAGCGAAAAGAGAGACGTAGTCAGAGATGGAAAGTGGAAAAGCATGTCGGCTGAGCAGCCGCGCACCAGCGCGCGCGCGCGCGACTTGATGTTGTGAGTGGGAACACGGGCGCTGCAGTGCATGCCGGGGCAGGGAGGGCAGCATAGTTTTACGAGGGGCAGACTTATTGATGTAGGCAAGCGAAGTGCTTGGCTATGGCGGCGCCGTGCTCACGAAGGCCTGTAGATCTATTGACGACGGGCGCGGTGGCAGCGCGCGCCGTTTACATAGTTGTCATGCAGAGTTGGGCCCTGTACAAAACGGACCGACCTGTTGATCACGGGGCCTCCGGAGATTCCCGTCGGGCCTGTGTATTTGGTAACCCTGTACGGTGCGAACGGGTACCTTTGGCGGCACATACGTTTGTATAAAAAATGCAGATTTCGGCTGTTTTCCAATAGCATAATTTGTTTGCAGGTGCCTGTTTGTACTGGGGGCCCCGTACAGTACGGGGGCTCCGTCCCCACTGTGACACTTGCATTACAAATTCATGTAAAAGCTGAGAATGTAACGTTTGAGAGTCCCATAGAGGAGCAAAAGCGGCTGGACGAGCTGTACGCCGTGGCGTATGCGGAGATGTTCGGAAACACCAACTTATGAGAGTGCACAAGAACCCCCCCTCCCCCTCATTTGTCATGCCAAATTCCCAAGGCTATTGCTGCGCTGTGGGACTGTTTGCATGACAAATTCCGGAAGCCCAAAGAACAGTCCTACACTAGGCACATGACTTTGTCATGCACAGGCTCCATGTGCGGTGGTGTTTGTATTGCTGTCCATGCAAAAATACAAATGAGGGGGAGGGGAAGTTGTGCACCCCCATACGGCTTTTGGCAAGAGCAGAAACCCGCGGAAAGAACGGGGAAGGAAGCGGAACGCGAACACAACGACGAAATCATAAGAACATCGGGTGGTTATCAAATGTAAAAATGTCTGGGTCTGGAAGGTTGCAAGACTTGCCATGCAGGTTTTCCATGACGCGCGAGGTCTGTCATACACGACCGAGCATGACAGATTCTGTGCGACCTCTATCATGCCTATCCTGCATGAGAAACTGCCTCTCGATTAGGTCAAAAGTGGAAAGCTTTTGGCACTCATGCAACACAGATTTTTGCATGATTCGGATTTAGCATGACAAGTTGCAATCTTCCAGACCCAGACAGTTTTGCAATGCATAGTGGTGGTCCAACTACTATTGGAAAATTTTTTTCAAGCGCCAGGACCGCCGTCGAGGACGGCAGCAAGAACAAAACTGCCCGAGAAGATATCAAAAGAAAAAAGTTCGTCACGATCACTCACGGGCATTTTTGCAAGACAAAATTGTCTGTCATGCGTAAAAATGCATCACAGCCTCACTTCATAAGGGATTTCCCTAGTGTTTCTGCAATACAAGGAGAGGTTGTGATGCAAAAAAAATTTGTAATGCAAAACCTGCAACTTAGTGACTGTGACAAACTTTTTTCTCTCCATAGAAGATGATCATCATCTATGCATTGCAAATATCGATCTGAGTCTGAAACTGAATCTGGAAGCATTCAAGTGGTTTGTCATGCTTCTCTGCCATCGGACAAAAAGATGGTTCTATCTGTAGTGACGCAAAAGCGCAAGAAACTGCAATTATGCGGAATACGCAACACAAAGCAGCTCAAAAACTTCTCATGCTTGTTGGCCACGTATATAGAGTTGTCGTTCTTGTAGTGTGCTGCCCATTCATTATTGTTCCCTCGTCGTTCTTCTTGCACTACAAGTTTAGCTTTAGTCCAGAGGACCCAGATATATTTGCACTGCATATGACCTTGACGACCGTAGCGGAGGGTTGAGCCGAAATCGTCTCCAACGTAGGAATATCCTGTGCAAAAGTATCGTACTCGCATTGCAATCATGCATTACAGATAATTTTCTTACTGTAAATCTAAATCCGCATTACAAATGTTATTTCTCATGCTGAGGAAATCGAAATTTGTAATGCATTTAAACGAGTGCGATACTTTTCCAGTTCATAAGGAGGTCCCGATCCCGATCCCCGCCGCCGACGTATGAGGAACAACATGCTATCCTGAGTAAAAACGTACCCACACCATAGTTGTCATGCAACTCTGCATGCTTAAAATGTTTGTCATGCGGAGCCCCATGAGAAGCATTTTCTAGTGCGGTTTTGAAATTTGTCATGCTCCAATCAGCACGAGCTACTAGATCTGTAATGCTGCTAAACTAGCTCAAACAGCACTACACTACGCGGACAAACTTGTCATGCCAAACAACCAAAGCTGGCTGATTTGTCTAGCAGATTCCCCATCCTGACTCTGGTGTGGGTACGTTTTTACTCAGGATGCATGCGATTGGTTATTCATCTACTTTTCAGAACAGGAGCTACCGGTCGCAATCCACCATAACCAGGTCGAGGTCACGGAGCAACCGGCTTCGATCCCGGACCCGGTCACGTTCGCGGCACAGGAATAATTGGAGGTGGCCGCGTGAACAACAAGAAGGAGTATGGATTGCAAATATGTCTGGGTCTGGAAGAGTAAAAACTTGTGATGCGCATTTCAGAACACAGAAAAATCTCTCATGCCTAGGTAGCAAAAGCTACTCACTTTCTGTCACCAAGATGGGGGATTTGTCATGCGGATTCGGCATTGCGGGAGCTTCTCGAAACCTGTGATGCTAGAGCTTCCATGCCAGACCTTCTGTGTCATGCAAAAACAGCATGACTCTTCCAGACCCAGACATTTTACATTTGATAAGGAGCCCGGCTTCGATCCCGGTCACGTTCGCGGCACAGGAATTATTGGTGGCCGCGTGAACCACAAGGAGTCCACTCTTACGACTACCCGAAGGGAGCGAATGTTCAGACGAGCTTTTACACGACGACCAAAGGCGCAGCTGGCTGGGCGACAGCGACTTCGTGGCATAAAGGCTGCAACCAGCCCGACGACAGTAGAGCCCGTGTATTACATCGCCAGCATGTTGACCACAACCACTGGCACAGCAGTTCGTCTTCGCGAGTAGACCAAACGCGCTCTACTTCTAACGGGTCGCAATACAAGTTTCACGAGTGGGGCTATGACTCTTACCCCGACAGGACCGCTGCCACCAAAGGCAGCAGCGCTACAGAGGCCCCGACTGCTGGCGTTTTTGGTCGCCCCGCCTTTGCGCAGCAGCTTCACCACAGTCGCGCAGAGACCACCAGTTACGGCATTAAAGGTCTTCGCCATTGTTCTCAGGGGTCGCGCAGCTGGGCGGCGAAGGGTCAAGGCAAAGGCCAACATGGGTGCAGTTTGTCTGCCGCCAAGGGAACATCTTCAGCGTCGTCAGGAAAAGGCCAGCGCGCCAGTGGGAGCCGCGTGCCTCCCATTGGCGAGACGGGCAGCAGCTTCTTCCTGGAAAATCAGAAACAACCCTCTGAAAACACAAACACACGGCCGGGATGCAGCAGCAGCAGCCAATCAACCACGGCAAGCGGTAGCAGCTTCGCGGAGGCTCATGGCGCTGCTACATCTTCTTGCTCTGGAGGCGAGGGCGGCGGTGGATCTGGGTTGGTACATCATGACTCCAGCAACAGCCGGCAGTCAACAACTGCTCGAGCATCTGTTTCCACCGAGGACCCTGCAGCACTAAATCGCACGCTGAGCAGCGGCACGACGACAGCAGGGGCTGTTGACCCACAGAAAAATAGCAGCCGGCCAAAATGGATCATACCACTGCAGGGCGTCGCTTCTGGTCTGGGCCTGTACAAGGTCAAAGCGTGGAAACCCGAGGGCATCACCGAAAAAGAGCTCGCCGAGCTGGAGCGCATGACGAGGCTGAAGATGGGCAGTCTCAAGCGCGATTACCACGTGCCGAGAGGGCTCCAGTGGTGGGAAACCTTCGACGAGGGTGCGCCGCGTATGGATTGCAAATATGTCTGGATCTGGAAGAGTACAAACTTGTGATGCGCATTTCAGAACACAGAAAAATATCTCATGCATAGGTATCAAAGTCTGCCACTTTCTGCCAGCAAAGTGGGGGATTTGTCATGCGAATTCGGCATTGCGAAAGCTTCTCGAAACCTGTGATGCTAGATCTTCCATGCCAGACCTTCTGTGTCACTCATCCAAAAACAGCATGACTCTTCCAGACCCAGACATTTTTGCATTTGATACCGCGGGCGGCAGCGCAACTCGCTACGAAGCTCTCAGATGTTACAGTCAGCTGTATGCATGTGTCTGTCATGCAAGGATAGCAAAAGTGAGGGGGGGGCTTGCGCGTGGTGCATTGCAAATTCGGCACAGACTTCTATGTTGCTTGGCCCGTCGATAATTTGTCATGCGAGCTACCTTGGTCGCGCGGGTGCTGATGCTGCTTTCGCATCAAAAATCCATATAACAACTGACAATGGAACGTTTGAGAGCCCCATACTAGAGGCGAAGTTGTTCGAGGCCGGTGCGACGTGGAAAACGGTCCGCGGCACCGGGACTACGGAGGGCACCTACGACAAGATGGGCATGAAGCAGTACAAAACTGCGGCGGCTGCGATTTTGCAAGACCACCCGCCGGCGTATCAAGTGCAAAAGTGTCTGGGTCTGGAAGAATTCATGGCTGTCATGCTTGTCTGGCGTGACTCTTAAATCTGTCATGCGCGTTACCCAAGAGCTCGGCTTTTCTGTGATGCAGAAGCGCAGTTTGTCATGCAGAATAGGCAACACCAAGGAGCTAAGAAACTTGTCATGCTGAGCCACCATCTGTAGCCTCATCATGAGACGCCACCCAGCATCACAAGTTTCCAGACCCAGACATTTTTGCATTTGATACGGCGTGGGGGTACGCTAGGCACGCCGCCCTCGTCCTCGCCGCCGTGAAATCCGCGCTGGGAAAGCTGTGGAGTGCGAACAGAGAAGAGCAAGCGGGCCGAGCCGCGTATCAAGGTGAAAAGTCCCCCCGCCCCATATCAAAAAGGTACGTTTCCGAAAATTTGCGCTGCTGATTTGTGACCACAGAGCGGGTCTGTCTTGCAAGAAGGCACACTCAGGCTGTCCGCCACGTTATGCAGGCGATTTGTAATGTTGTAAGGCCTACAGGGTAGCTGTCTACCATGCTAGGCGCCTACACCGAAAGGCCCCCGCCTAGGCTCAGGATCTGCGTGCACTCCTCTACTGCAGCACAAATTTGATTTGTGTATCCAAATCCAGCATCAGAAATTTCGTTTTGATATGGGGAGGGGGGATTTTTCCTTTTGATACCGCCTGGGCCGCGGCTACGCGGATAGCGGCAGCGGTCGCTCCGGATTTCCTCCCGGCCTACGTAGAAGAGCCGGACTTATCCAGTGCAAAAGCATCGCGTTAGCAGTGGACTCGTTTGCACAGATTTGCCACCTTTGCAATACAAGCCACTTTCACCTGTGGCGCTCTCCTGCATGATTGCAACGCGGGGGAGTAGTGCAGCTCGTGGTATACAGAGACTTACTTTTGCAATACAAGCCATTTGTGGCGCTCTACCCATGCATGATTGCAATTCGGGCAAGCGCAGCTCGCGACGCTTTTCCACTGGATAGGGCGGCGCTAGTTACCAGATAAAGGATATGGAAGTGTCAGAATCGAAATCAACAAAATCGAAATAATTTGTGATGCATAAAATCGATACCACTTGGAGCCTCAGTTTTCAAGTGGCGCATGACAAATTTCGGGAGCACCAAAATCCAGTCTGTCATGCTGTTTGGGCAAAGAAGACTGCTCCTGGCGTGCTGCTCCGGCAGCACATCGCCTTCCCCTAATCAGGCTTGCAATCGGTCTCATTTGCCTACTCCCCAACACAGGCCTTACTTGCCCTACATGTTACGCATTACAAATTTTTCCATTTTGTCGATTTCGATCCTGACACACCCATAAAGGAGCTGGTCACCATCTTCGTGCGCTCGGAATATCAAGTGCGAAAGTGTCTGGGTCTGGAAGAATGGAACTTGTGCTGCTGGATTTAGATGTCTGAAAAATTTGTGTTGCATGAGCAGCAGAAGGATTTTAATTTTTGCTACGTGGAGAGGGCATTTGTCATGCGGAATAGGCATCAAAGATCCCTCAAAAAACCTGTGATGCTAGGGCATGCATCACAGACATCATGGCCCATGCAAACCGTGCATGACAAGACTCAGAATCTTCCAGACCCAGACACTTTTGCATTTGATACGGAAGTGGTGTCGGCGATGTCCTGTCTCCTGGAAATCGCGGAGCCGGCCCAGCTATCAACTGCAAACTAATATGTCTGGGTCTCGAGAGTTGCGGTGCGTGTCTGGGTCTCAGTGAAGAGTATGCACACTGAAATGCACCGCCAAGCATGACAGATTTTTCCGTGGCTCGGTGTTGCGTAGTCCGCATCAGGATGAGCGACAGCATTTTATTTGCATGACAAACCAGAGGGGCTCGTCTTGCTGGCCACGCAATACAGAGCTCGGTGTCAACATGCCAGACTTTTAGCATGACAATTCTATACAGCATTCTTACAGAGGACCCACACATCCATCTTTGCAATGCATACCAGGAAACAGCCGAAAAACAGCAAAAGCGGCAGGAGCAGCGGGACGCGCGAGACCAAAAAGCCGCAGAGAAGGAAAAGGCGCAGGCCGCGCGGGCGGACGAGCGAGCAAGGAGCAAGGCCCGGAAGGAAGCGGACAAGCAGGCAAAGCTAGTATGTTGAGAATGCGAAACCCTGCCTCCCGGTCATTTGTTATGCGAAAAATTGAATTGCATGACCAATCTGAGGCTCTGGCGGAAGCGGCCGAAATACCGCCACAACTCTGTCATGCAAAATCTGCATTTTTGCCGGCGATTGTATTGCTGTTCACGCCCTACCCTTGGCCCTGGGGACGAGAAAGATGGGGAGTAGTTTATGCGCACGGCTATATCCAGCCGAGAAGAAACGGAAGGACGACTACCAAATGCAAATATGCCTGGGTCTGGAAGGTTGCAACTTGTCATGCTAAACCTGAATCAGGCAAAAATCTGTGCTGCGTGATTGCCAAAAGTTGTGCACTTTTGACCTAATCGAGAGGTAGTTTCTCGTGCAGGATAGGCATTAGAAAGGTCTCGCAGAATCTGTCATGCTATGTCCTACATACCAGACCTCAAGGGTCATGGAAAACGTGCATGACAAAGCTGGCAATCGTCCAGGCCCAGACATTTTTGCAATCCATAAAGACGAGAAGGAGGCCAAGCGCCTCAAGGACGTCTTCTATGGGCACGCCAAACCGAAAACCATTTTGGACATTGTCAAGAAGCAGGAATGGCGCCGACAATGTGCGGCCGACACGGAGCGACTATGCAACAAGACAAATTTATTTCCGCACACGACGACCTACAAAAAGCATCACAAATTTCGCCAACCTAGAATGTAACTAATGTCAGTACTCATCATTCAAATCAGGATTGACATCGAAGGCAAGTGGGTTTGTCATGCAGAAACCCCCTTTTGTACGAGTGTGCGGCAATCAATTTCCTGGCGATAGCGAAGGACGGCCGCCTACTATGCGAAAGTTGCAGCGGAGCAACAGCAAGAAAGGCAGCAGCGGGCCGCGAGCCTCAGCCGTGCAGGACCACCCGGCAAGAATTTATTAAATCGCGGCGACGCTCCTGCTGCAGCTGTGCCCGTACTGGGCGTGAGAAGAGCAGGCGGGCCAGATCCTCGACCTCCAGCGGCGACGACGGGCAGAGAGCGGCCGGCCTGTCAATCAGGGCTGACGGGCAGAAAACTGATTCATCAGCCGTCAGTGGCAACGCCGAGGGCAGCACCGGCTCCGCAACCTCCAGGGGGGACGACGCGAGGACTACTCGTAATATCCGGTGCTACGTCGAGAGGAGCTGCGGCCGTAGGAGGAGAAAACAGAAAAACAGCACCGGCAGGAGCGCTGGGAAAAAGGCCAGTAGTGGGAGCTGCGGTCGTGGGCAGGGATATCAGAGGAGAAAACGCCACCGGGCCGACAAGACCAGTGCTGGGAGCTGCAGCCGCAAGCAAAAATGGACCACGACGCGGGCCGACAAATCATTCCCTAGCAGGAGCGGCGGTGAGCACCAGAGGCGCACAACAAGAAATAAAGGAAGTAATAAATGCAGTAGTGACGACCCGACCACCCGTGCCGGCGACGACGGTCTCTCAAATGCCAAACGCGACCGCTCTCCCCTCTGTGTCTCGTCAAAGAAGAACTACTACGCCATGTTGATGTCTGAAAAGGCGGTGATGGTGAAGGTCGCTGCCTATGAAATAGTATAACTAACCAACTGACCAAAGTACGGCCGCGTAAGTGCCATGTTGCACAGAAGACCTGACGTTGTGCTACGTAGAGGCTGCTGCAACGTGCGATTTAGTACTTTTGTGTTCATCTCCAGTAAAATACTGAAATCTCGTCGTATGTTTGAGAGCCGCGTTCTGATGTGAAGACTGACGCTGTTGTTGCCGACGATGGAAGGAAATGAATACAAGCTGACTGTAGAAAGAACCCACCGTATGAATTTGAGTACAGATGCCTGCTACACGCTTCGACCTGAATTTGAGTACAAATATCTACTGCTTGCTAGCTGCTTCGACCTCACGCGACCTTTTAGTGTGGTAGCGGCGTGGTCTTCTGGCTGCTTTCTTCACGTAAAACATTTTCACGAAGTAGTTGATGCTGTTGCAGATGTAAAAATTGTTCAAATAAGGCGGGTTGTTTATACCGATGGGAAGATCATGGGACGTCGCGTCAGTACGCAAGATAAAGTTGTGACGCATTTCTGCTGCTGGTGCTGCTGAGAAGAAAATGAAGAGAACTTCTGTGTGCTTATGAAACTGATTCGATGACTTTCATTCTACTGACCACAAGAGGAGGCGTTTTGTTGTTTCTTTTCACCTATCCCTACCTATACACGGAAAAACTTCCAAACTTATTCGAAAAGCCCAACCATTAGGTTTGGACACCCAACTTCTATAGTAGCTGTTTCACAAGTAGCCAAATAAAGTCGCTCGTTTTTATACACTGAAATCATTATCATTGTCATCTTGTAAGTAAAAATTGCTGACGAACTGCAACACAAACGGTCCACATCATCCGCCCAAAACAAAATGTTGGAGTGCTCCATGACGAACGTGAAGTGGCTGATGCGGTGGCTGGACAGCATCCGCTATCCTGTGTAAAAACGTCCCCACCGCATAGTCAAGATGGGAATTCTGAAACACAGATCCAGAAGTTTTGGCAGCCACGCATGACAAGTTTTTCTCTGTACTGTAAACGTGGCTTAGCAAGGCCAACCGCATCACAAAGCCATCCTGGTATCCTGTTTTTTACAGCATCACAAATTACATAAAACGATTCGTGGAAATGCCTCTCATGGGGACGCGCATTGCAAGTTTTCCTGTGATATGTAATTCTGCATGACAACTCTGGGGTGGGGACGTTTTTCCACAGGATATCCTCGACCTCTACACCACCATCAACATCAACTGCACCGAATACGGCTGGCGGTGCACCTGCTTGACGGAATCGAAAACGCTTTTGTGCGACCTGCAGTTGGAGCACTCGTTTTTCGAATACTACCACTGCCCCAAGCCCTGCTCCTTGTATCCTCGTGGAACGAAAAACTTTCTGTTGCAAAAGTCAAGTTTGTCACAGTCATGCAGATGAAGATGAAGAACGTTTGTACGATTATATAGATCGGCTTCGCTGGTATCTATCCGGTTCGTTTCCATCTTCTTTCTCAACATCATCACATCAAACACAAACTTGATTTTTATCAGCAAAAAGTACAATTTCAGTTGGATACCTGGGTTTTCCGAAGCCAGCAGCTGTTGAGACAATTGAAGTACAAAATATCTGTAGCATTTTCGTTTGACGAACAAATTGTTCTTTGCTGATCATCCTAATGGTCCTAGTACTCCTATTTCATGTTGACGACGAAGTGCTGTTGTTGTATACGTTACGTTTATTGATTGCGCACGAATGCAGCTGCATCTCATCATGACATAGTTAGTGGACGATCATAAACAAAATTTTCCCAACAAAGAACAGGCTCGGCGCCACCGTCACGCACCCCACACTGCCGACGAAGTGCCACATAAGGTGGCATCCGACCAACGCCAATGCGAAAATCCATTTTCGTCTAGTATCCTGAGGAAAAACGGACCCATCCCAACATATGAACCTTGCAACACAAATCCAAAAGTTGAAATTTATTTTGGGAGTCAACACGAACACACACACGACAAATCCGGGCTCGCAGGGTTGTAACCTGATGCTTGACTAGCGGAGCCGCATCAAAAATCGGGAATCTCATCCTGATTTTAGCATGACAAATTCCAAAACGCAACCGGGAAATGCTTCTCATGGGGTTTTTCATTTTCTGCATGGCAAAGGTTTTCCAACATCATGCAGATTTGCATGACAAGTCTGGGGACTAGTTGGGGTTGGGGACGTTTTCACACATGATAGCTAGACTTCGACACGAGCGGGAATGTGTGCGAGTTTATACCAAGAAAAAAGAGTTACAGTTACACATTGTGTTGCAGGAGCCGCAAGACAGACAACCTTTGTCATGCAGGGAAAGGGGTTGCAGAACTGATATTTGCATTACAGGTTTTGTCTGCCGCACAGAGAAAATTTGTGATGCAGAAACTCCAACAAATGTGTAACTGTAACACTTTTTTCTTGCGATAGAGTTTGAGCTGCCGCAAGCGGTTATCCTATGTAAAAACGTCCCCACCCCATAACTAGTCAAGTTGGTAAATGTGCAACACAAATGAATCTCCAAGTTTTGCGAGTTGTGCATTACAAGTTTCCATCTGTAGCGTAGTGTTCTTTGGGAAGAACAGCCGCATTACAAAGACGCATGCTTATCCTGTTTACAGCATCACAAATCGAAACGAAATCTAAGAACACGACTGCAAATTGCTCTCATGCGGATGTGCACTACATCAGATCTTCTGTACATGCAAATCTGCTTGACAACTATGGGGTGGTAGCGTTTTTACGTAGGATAGCAGAGGACATCCCGCAGGATTCCATCGTGCCGGACACTGGCTGCCTCCCCCGCATGCAATTCGGCACGGACGAACTGAAAAAGATCGTGCTGAACATGTCCAATACCGGGTTCGAAGACACCATGAAAATCAAGATCAAGACCGGGTCCATCCAGTTTCTGGCGAACGTATCCTTTGCAAATATCATCCTACCTCGACGTTTCAAAATCTTGTATTGCCGAGTACTAGCGTCATTTGTACGGAGTAAAAGGATCAGAAGTTTTTTTTTCAGGGTTGAGCATGTCGCTGATTCATTTTTTGTCTCACGCATGACAAAGTGAGACAGAGTGGTCCTTTCACAGCATGTTGAAAAAAAAAACTCGCCAGTTGTACATACAATTTTATGCATCACAAATCCAACTTGTTGTCTTTCTCTCGCATGACAAATCCGAACCGCCCGGATCGGTATTTGCAATGCATAGAACGGGGAGAACAGCAAGGCCGCCATCATATGAAATGCAAAAGCATCGTACTAGTACCAAATGCATTAGAAATTTGCTCAGCATTAGAAATGGAGTTTGTGATGCGGTTGTACCTTGATAGACAGATTTGTGATGCATGACTGCGATTAGTACTTCTACTTTTGCAATGCATACATCACCGTCCCGCACGACGACACCTCCAGTTCGGAAAAGAACTGGGTATCAAATGATGCTTGCCTGGCATGACTGCACGTTTGTGATGCTTGTCTGGCATGACTCTTAAATCTGTCATGCACGTTACCCAACAGCTCCATTATTCTGTGACGCTGAGACGCACTTTGTCATGCAGAATAGGCAATACCTAGAAGCTCAGAAACTTGTCATGCTCAGCCAGCATTTGTGGCCTCATCATGAGACGCCACCCAGCATCACAAGTTTCCAGACCCAGACATTTTTACATTTGATATCCACCCGGAAAAATTGTTTGTACATTCGATTCGTACTAGTTACCATCGGCCCGGTAATCGTACAGTAGCTCCACCCGTCCCGCACCCCGGTGGAATATCCTTTGCAAAAGCATCGCACTCGTACTAATCGCAATCATGCAGAAGACAAATTTCATTTTCAAGCTAAATCAGCATGACAAATTCCGTTTGCCATGCTGAGCTAATTTGTGTTGCAATAGTACTACGGGTACGGTACTTTTGCAGTTCATATGGACTTCACAATGCCGATTTTGATCAAGTGGTTCAAATACCGAAATTTCCGAATCTGCTTGGACATCTCGAAAGCGAAGTCAATCTCCTGAAGTTTTGTGGGGACAGTCATTGTAGTTGGCATGGTTTTTTGCTTTTCTTGTCGTCCTGGTTGGGAATTAAGCTGTTGGTCGGCAGAGATAACACCGGCGCCG